AAATCTGTACTCGCACAGCGTGCTGAATGATTTATTTTGCCCGCTCTAAACTATTTTTAGTCGCAAATGCGAGTGCAGTGATGGACGGAGTAAAATATCGCCACACTGCCGACATTTTACTCCGTCCGTCACCGCACACTGTTTGACTGTGTTATCAAAACAGGCCGCTATTATTCGGGCTTGCTTTTAACTTATTCCACCGAATTCCGAAAGTGTGTTTTTTGCAATATTTGGCCAAATATATTCGGTTACTGAATATTCGGTGCATCCCTAGTAAAAAAAATCCAACCGGTGATCTGACGGTCCACCCCCTAAGAAAAAAATTCAAAATTTGAAATCTCATTCTCGACTACGGCCTGCTATATCAGGCTATTTATCACAAGCATGTACAATTATACAGTATAATGTGTAACAAATGTGTAATGATATACAGAGACCCTGTGTCCTCATATGAGGACATCACATTTTGGGTTTACTTGACCTTATACTTCATTCTACTTAACTTAGACCTGTTGTCCTCGTTCGTGGACACTGTTTGTGCCATCTAGTGGTAGTAAGAGCACACTACAATAATCCATGTAAAAACAAGATGGCAGCCATCTCTGCCAAGTCAGTGTGCAGCCGACCCCGACACAAAAGTGGACAAGGTCCAAAACCTGATCACATTTTATGGTTGAAACTTGTTTGTTTATGATTAATAATGTTTGTAGTTTGATATGGCAACAAATTTGACCAATTTCAGACACTAACAAACTAAGACACTGTTAATTAGGAAGTACTCGTTTGAAGACATCAGGACTTTGTTATCATTGACAATGTTTAGGTTTTTATACTTATCAGGTCCTGCTGATCCCAAATAGCCAGAAGAAATTACAAAAGCATACCAAACAAAAGTTCAGGTCTCAGGAGGATAAATAGAAGCTGCTAATGCCTAAATAAAACACACATGCAGCACATCACTTAGCCTTTACGTGAGCTTTTTGACAAATGTAGCCTACCACAATAAGGTCAGCCCGTGAGTCGTGTTCTGCTGGGGCACAGCAACACCACTGGCACAAACCACACAGTGCATAGTTAAACCACACAGTGCATAGTAATACTGGAACTAAACAATTTGTTTAGTTCCAGTTTAGTTTTGCACACATCAGTGCCAAAAAAGGAAATTAAGTGAAGCCAGTGAACGTCACACACACACACACACACACACACACACACACACACACACAGGCTTGTGTTTCTTCTTAAATCTGGATCCAGGGTCGCAGTTTTGAGTATATTTTAGATGAGTTTGAGTGTCTGAACATCTGAACACTGAAATTTCCGACATTTTGCAGCAGATCTGGCAACCCAGCTGTTCACTTTATCCGATTGGTTGAGAAACAAGTCCGTCCTGTCCTCCTCATCCATAATCTGGTGAGTTTACTGACGTGTGTTTGGCTGTAGAGGTGTAAATAACCCCTGAGGTGAGTCCGATCTGCACGGTGCAGTGATGTTGGTCACTACCTTGAACGCACCTGATCCGCCATATTAAAAACGTGGCCATCACTCCGCTCTACTTTTTGCCTCCCTGCTGCAACAAATCACCACATTAATACATCATAGTTTTATTATGACTCATAATGTGCACGTGGGGCTCACTTTACATTGATTGTGTCGCTGTTAAATGTGTTTCAGCTCCTCTAACATCCAGTTTATCCTGTAGGGAGGTGTGTAATGATGTTTTGTGTCAGTGTTTGGGGGACTGTTGGTTGTTTTCTGGTCTCTCGTGCACGTCTGGATGAAATTACGTGAGGGAACCCGATGTTGCACCGGCAGAACCGAGCACATGAACTCTCTCAACCCGGATCCTGGTTCCTGATTGGACCCGAGCTGAGCACTTAAGTGCAGCTGGTTGTAAAAGCCTCTCATAGTCAGACTGTCAAGTAGCAGCGGCTCTGGGCTCAGTTTACACGGCAGACATGACGTGTATCGATAAGGTTAAATCAGCTTAATGGAGCTATTTAATTGCCAACCATGCAACCCCCCTGATTGCTCCTTCTGCGTCTGCGCAGCGAAAAAAAACCTTAAGAAATACGAATGGATGCCGTCAGAGAGGATAGGAAAGGAAAGAGGTCTCACTCTGCCTCAACTTCCGGTTACAAGGAACGTGAGGATATGGCTTAAAGGGCCATATCAGTGTTTTTGTAGGTTAATTGTGTGTTACTGCAGCAGTGGAAGGAGTATGCCTTAGTTTAATAGAAATACAAAAGTACTAGCATCAAAATGTAATTAAAGTACTAAAAGTAAAAGTACACATTATGCAGACTTTAAAGGGGCTCTTAGCGAAATTCAGAGCATATGAGTTGTCTGCACACGTTCTCAACATGGAGGTCACAGCCAGCTAATGCAGGATTTATACATCTGTGTTGAACTGATGCTGTACATACGGCGTGGACTCTGTGTTGACATAGAGCAGTGACGCAGACTTCCTGTCTGTTTCTGTAAGCTGAAACCATTTCCCTCAGTGGAAACGAAGCTTTTATTTACTTTAATTTCACGGATAAGAAACAATAAATTGTGAAGACAATAAATCCTCCACAAAAATAGCATTTTAAGTCCTGTGTGTGATTTATCCTGGCTTCATATGAGCAGAGGAAATCAACGTTCGTCGCAAGGCTAATTTATACAGCGCAAAATGCCATGGGCTTGTGCTAATAACATTAGCATGGCACCTGCTCTATTTGGACTTTCTCTGCCTCAACTTTAGTTCTTGTCCTGCCAGGAATCCCCCTGATGCCGCCGAGTGCCATTAAACTACAATGCCATACCGAATTTCGATGACTTTGGAGTGAAAACAGGTTAGGCCAGTGGGATACAGCCGTGTGCTAGCATGCACGCACGGCTAGCTTGATGGTGCTTTCCATTTGCACTGGGAAGTCAGAAATTTTCACTAGGACACTCAGAAGTCAGAGTTCAGACTCAAAAACTCACCAACCCCAACCTGAAAATCCAATATGGCTGCTCCATGCATTAACAGTGGTGAAAAGTTGTAGTAATGTACTGGTCATTAGCACTCCTGTGTTCACAGAAATGCAAAGAATAATAATTTAAAAATAAAAAACAAATGTTAAAATAGGTATAATTGGGAAGGAATTTTGCATACATAACGCCTACATACTTCTAGTAGGTTTTTTGTTGTTGTTTGTTCTGTTTTTGGTTTGAAACAAATGATTATCTCCTTGCACCCCCTCATCTCTGGTTGTACTGGCTATATTTACTGGCTGTGACCAGCACAACCACAGAGTTGTTTTTCTTGCTGTGTTTGAACTATTTTTAGAGTCCTGGATAAATAAATAGTCCACAAGAAAAAACAAGGATCAGTCTGAAAAATAAGCTTTATTTTGGGTAGCAGAATTTGTTTTTCCCTTCTAATCATCTCTCTCCCCCTCAGTATCATCTAGACATCACAGCATTAATAGATATGTGTGTGTGCTGTTTATCCTAATAAATAGTCTAGACATCTACATAACAAACTTCCTGCTGGATTTAAAAAAAATCCATCAAAATACATCACAAAATATATCACAAAATAAACCTACAAAGCCCAACATCTTAAACCATCCACTTCATTATCACTACACATGCAACTGGCCTTGGTTGTTAACATAAACTCACTCTGCTATATGCAGTGGATGCACATATATTTAAAACAGAAGTAAACAAATAACTCATTGCAAAACAAGTACAAACAAATACATATTTGTTGATGCATGTATGAAGACACATAACACAAAAGTGCACCTCCCCACAGAGAGTGACACATGTCAGGAGCTCTCCAAAAAATGTAAGTATTTCCCCATTTTCTAATATGTACATCCAATCTTCCAAAACCATTAATAGGACAGCACAGTTTTATTTATCCATTATTTGTCCAGCTTTCTGGTAGCTGTTCAGCTGTCATGCTTATTTCTGCATAAGTAACCTACATTGAGATCAGTGGGAAAAAACAGAGTCAAATTCCTTGTATGTGTAGACATACTGGATTATCAAAGCTGATTCTGATTCTGAAGGGTGAATGCTCTTTATTTATAGTTGTGGACAGTCAGACATTCAGCGGGTTGTGGACACATTTTGTACAATTAAAGATTTCAGTGTGTGAAATTATAGTTATTAATCAAATGAAACATGAAAAATTAAAAGATTAAGTTAAATATAAAAAAGTATTGAAGAAATACTAAGTAAATAAAATTTAATACAGTCAGTACACCTTAATAAGGGACTTTAAAATTCTTTAAAATATAACAGAATGTGTTCACTTTTTTGTTTGTCATAAGCATAGGAATTGGAGTGTTTGGTTTTCTTTTCTTTCTTTTTTTTTTCCTAAGTAATTAGTGCCATAACTACTTTAAAATCCATTGAATAAATTGATTGAAAGACTAAACTTGGTACAAAAATTGTTTTGTTTGTTTTTAGTTTCCATAAATTTGATAGTGTCAATTAGGGTTGCAGCAATTAATAAATGGCAAAATAAATGTGTTAAAGATTTTGGTTAATCATTTCAAAAACATTTGATTTCAGTATTATTATTTAATTTAATTTAATATTTTTTATTATTATTTTAAATTATTTATTATTTTTTATTTTATTTCATTATCTAAGCATTTTATTTTATAATTCATTTAATTTTATTTTATTTCATTACCATTGCTTTCTCCTGAAATGTATTATTAACTGATGGTTGTTTTGTCTTGTCTGTAGTTTTAACTGAATTTTACTTTGCATTTTAGTCTTATTTATTTATTCATTTTAATCATATGTTTTATCATCTTTTATTTTCTCTATCACAAATGTTTTGACTGTTTTTTTTCCAGCACTTTGTGTTGCATTTTATGACTGAATTGTGCATTTAAATAAAGTTATTATGATCATTATCTATATCTAAATATTTGGGGAAATATACATTTGTTGGATATATATAGTGTAAAACATTAATCTTATAGTTGATACAGATTTTATCAGGTAAAAGCCACATCCTGTGCAAATCAAGAGGTAAATGCTCTCATAACGTCCCCGAGTCAACGTGTTACGTCACGTGAGACGCCACCGCCACGCGTGACGTAGTGAGCCATCTGGCCAATAGACGATCTTTGCACGGAAAGTGGAAAGTTCTACGTTCTGCGCACGCGCTCCCGGGATTAATGTCAAGGCACAAAAGTGGCGCTACACCGTTTCGAGCTCTACTCCGGTAAGCGAATTTCACGGACGTTTTTTTAAATATTCCAGCTTTACGCCTAATTAAGTCAAAGTTTCGGGAAGTGGCCCGGGCGGTCCGGCGGGTGTCCCCGGTCTGCCCCCGGGAGTCACACCGGGGACCGGAGACACATTCAGGGAACAATAAACAGTTAAATTGAACAGATTTTACTCCTGAGCTGAGAGTGTGCTGTGGCTGCTGCCGCCTCTAGTCTCCAGTATTGTTCAGTTGGCTCCCTAATGGCGGACGGCGGCAGTGCTGTTTTCCGCTGGGGGAGGAGGAGGGGGGTTAACTGCTATCTGGTTGTGTATAATCGGGTTTGTACCGGGCTTTGGGGCACCGTAACTCCCGGGGGACTCCCGTAAACACGATGCGGGAGTGTCTTTGCGTTTCGTTGTTTACCACCGCATGACACAAATGAGGCAGTTCATGTGATATATATAACGCGAGGGCGCCCCTGGTGGCGACCGGGTATATTTGCCACTGATTGCGCCAGGGTGGACTCCGTGCAGGGTAACTTTCCAATTAAAACCCCACCGTCACAGGTATCATAAAAATCGGGCTTTTTTCGGGGTTTCCGGTTTGCTTTGGTGCTACAAGCATGTGTACGACTGGAAAAATAAACTGGAGGAGAAAGGGGGGGTGGGGGTGTGTGTAGTGAAACCACACGCTTCCAGTCGTTAGAGATTTGGTGTCACACTGTGCGTGTCCTGCGCAACATTTAGCGCTGTTTTTTTTAACGCATTTGATGCGAAGTTATAGTGATTTTCAGTGGTGTTTCAACAATGGCGCAGTCTGTGCCTGCTCTCCTCCCCTCGATCCGCCGCTAATCCAATGGCTGTTTGCGCCAGGGAGGGCAGGGGTGGGAACGGAACGGAACAGCCTGAACCACGTTTCTCCTGGATCCCAACTTGGAAGCCAACCTTCCCCCCCTCATTTACCTGGGTTATTTATGGAAGAGTTGCGCCGCTCAGGTAGTTCTGTTTCTTGTTCTTGATTAAACTTTTGCACCAGCTCTCCATAGTTTGTGAAATAAAGGAGACAAGGAGAAGGGAACCAGGTCGCTTGGTGCTCCTCGTCGGCTCCTAGCCAGTGTTAATAACCAAGGGCACGGCCAGGGGGACTTCACCGGCCCGGGAAGCTTGTTACAACCCGTCCTTCAGTGCTGATTTCCTAACATTTCCGTTCAGAGCTCCTCAGCTGTGTGCAGCTCAGAATAGTCAGGGTTTAGTTTTTGCATTCAGCTGCCAGGTAACCGGAATGGACTGTATTGGAGCCCATCAGCTGGCTTGGGGGATGTTGTGGTGGCTGCGCATTACGCATCACTTCTCAGTGACATAAGCCTTATATAATAATCTCACTCGTTTGATTTGAATATGTTATTAGCCTGTGCAACTGGCGCAAACAGCTGCACGTCTCCACCTTGTAAACCCGCAGGAGAAATGATGTCAGTTTGCGCAAGCTGGAAAGGTAGATGAGCACCTATGCAAGGTGATGATGTGGCTGGGGGTTTGTTCTGGCGCAGATTTTTAACTGCTCGTCTGCTGAGTGTTATGTGTTGCACAGAGGCAGTCTCATCGTCCCCCAGCCCGGCCCACCTCTCCCTCCATCCACCTGGTGTTGACGTTAGGAGCAAGGTTGCATGTCAGAGCTCATTAATGCTGGACCCTCGTTTCCCTCTCATCCACGTGAATGCAGGCTGGCTCATAGCTCTGCATTGCAGTCTGAACTGAGTCTAGACCAGGCTATTTTTTCCCCCTCAGAGCACCACTGAGTTGCTTTGCACATAGATTCCCTCTGTTGGTGTAATATCAGAGCTGTGATGCATTTATTTTGCAGCTCAGCTCAGCTTGGCTTTGGGGAAGGTGTTGCACATGGAGGGGGGTGCCTTTGGGTCCACTCTCAATATTTTGACGCCAGTTAACCCCGCGGTCACAGACAGGTGGTCACGCAGTTCCCAGACATAGGACTGGGTTGTATCTCCTAGAAGTCGTGTTGAATTACAGTCACTATTTGGAATTCCATCCTGTTTTTGAACACTAGAGAACACCATATTGATCTTGAATGTCATGCTGCTTTGGCTTGTGCTTCCTGTCACATGGTCACCATGAGCTTCCTCTTCCAGCTTCAGTGTCTCACAGTGAAGTAGATCTTAACACACATCAGACATACTAGATGAAGCTGTGTGATAATGTATGCAGGGTTTTTATTTAAAAGTTCAAACTTGGGTGAACTTTCACACAAACAGTTGACATTTCTGAACATCACTTGCATTCGTGAAAAACGTGTTTTTATCTTGAAAGAAAAAAGGCAAATATACAAAACATGTTCATTTTTTAACATCTTTCAAACATTTTTCTTTTAGCATCTTTTGCTCTTAATTGCATTAAAATATCAAATACTTTAGAGCTGGAACAAAAACAGGAAGTGGTAGAACTGCACTCCAGTCTAAGCTAGTATTTGTAGTATTTATCAGTAAACCACACTGTAGGTAGCCCATATTTTTTAAAGGTTCAATATGTGACACTCAGAGCATTGTTATAGAAGCAAACCACTATTAGTTATGTAAAAATATAGTGGGGCAATGGCGTCCTGAGCAAGCGGCAACATCCAGGGCTAAAAAATGAAGCCAACATGGAAGTGACAAAAACTATAGTTCCTCTAATAACAGCTTTATGCTAGCTAGCTTGTCAATCCCGGTAGACTCTCGTGTTAAAGTGATCAGCATTACTGCCGAAACAAACATGTTTACAGCCTGGTACAAAAACTGTTTTAGTCTCTATAAGCTAACTTCAACATGTATGACAACTGCACAAGGGGTGAAGTTTTATATAATTCACCCATTTATATTTTATTAAGGCTTCAAGTTACGCATAATTAAGGGCGGCCAGCTTTGACTGACAGGCTGTCTGTCGATAGTGGCTTCAGCTTCTCAGTCAGATCCGACCCTCACTACTCCACAGCGACAGCCTCTTGCCCAAATATAGTCCGTCTGGCTCCAAAAAACAAGATGGCGTCGGCCGAAATGCAGAACTCAAGGCTTCAAAACTGGAGTCCACAAACAGTGGGTGACGTCACACTAGCTATGTCCATTATTTTTAAAGTCTATTGTCCTGAACAGAGAATGAAGTCACGCTACCCTCTTTGTGTCGTAATCTGAACATAGCCACTGGCTTGTGCTACATTTCCACCATATCCGGTGAAAATGCTAGGTGACCGGCTGCTCCACTCAACTGGGCACTTGATGGGCTTCCCCCCAGTGGCATGCCCTATCATGTAATGCTCTTGACTGGATAAACGCGCTGCTAGTTGGGCGGCCCCTGGTTGTCTGCTTATAGTTTCAAACAGGAAACTAAATGGCCGCCTGCGGATAAACTGAAAATGTACCTCTGAAAACATTTGAGGCAAGAAATTTGCATTGCTGTTGTCAAAATCTTGTCTTATTTTAGAAGTTAATCGCCTAGCTTGACAGCTTGGTCCACGTTTCGTGAGCCAGGCGCATTTCGCTGGACGGACTCATTTGCACAGAGTTGAATCTAATCTATTTAATGCAAATACAGATTGGTGAATGCACCGGAATGAAAGTGCTGAGATGCCCTCCATTGCTGGATTTGGTGAAAATGCACCGTAGCTCACCACCACCGCTTGGCAATGCGCTTATACAGTGATAACCCCTGATTTTGTGACAGCGGCGTCACGGACATGTAGCGCCCATCCTCCAGTTCCCCCCTGGTTGATACTGTTACCTTTGTCAGCACTGTTGCCATTGTTTAGCGCTGTTTATGGAGTTAGCACCATTAGCTGCTAGCTGCTGCCTCAGCTACCTCCATTTTGAGAACTGTGTCCAGACAGCTCAAACGCTCTGAATTTTGTAAGGTGCCCCTTTAACTGTTGTTTAGAAGGTTTTTTGGAAGTTGTGTTGTAGCCTTACTTTTCCAATAGTTAGTAATAATGATGTCACAGTAGGAGAACACGGACTGTATACTATGGGTTGGTTTTAACACTGTCTATACAGCGTTATATTCTCAGTAATTAAATCCTTCCGTGTATATGTGTAAAATAATCTTAAATTTGGATTTTAAATATTTGGCCCTGGTCCACTGAGTATAGGAAACTGTCATGGACTTAAAGCTGGCATTAAATCTTCTGGTCATATTCATAATGTTTGCCAATTCTTTAAATTTAAGTTGTACAACAATTGAAATATTTTAGATTATACCCAGCCCTAATGCAGGACTGTTGCATTGGATTTGAGGTATTTGTTATTCTGTCCACTCTATTTTTCTTGCCAAGTAGCTGTCATGACATAAGTGTCAGATTAATTACAGTCAAAATGCCAATGGCCAGTGGCAAATCAACGCCCTGTTTTCTGATAGTAGGCAGTAAATAAAGGTGTAGAAGAGGGTGGGGGCTTCTGGCACAACTTCACCTATTGTCAAGATGCATGGAAAAGGGAAAGAAGGCTAAAGTGGCTGAAACACCAGCAACACTTGTAGTATGTAGGGCAACTTTATTGCAAGACCAACGCGTTTTGGCTCATGGCCTTTACAAGCCAAAACACATCTGTTGTTCTTTATACTAGCAGTGCTGCAGGTGTTTAAACTCCTTTAACCTTCTTTACCTTCTCCATGCATCTTGACAGTAGGTTTATGCTGGAGTTTGACCTCAATAAACAAAGATATCACAGGAATTCTGCTTTTTACACTTGAAGCCAATTTGTGGAAATGTAATTAAGTTTTAATATAATTCACGTTCGACTCACAAATGTAATTATTTAGACATTAAATTTAAACAAGCTTGCGACTGCTGAGATTTGTGAAGATGAATTACAAATTTATCTAGTGTGTCCACGCTGTCCATATGCTGCACTGCCCTTGTGTTTGAGTTCCACCTCTTTCGTTCCGTCAACGTCATGTTATCAATAAACATATGGATTGATGCCAAATCGTCCAAGTCCACATCGTGACCCATCGAAGAATCGATTATTCGATAGAATCTTAACTTCTTAGGTCAAACGATAACTGCATTCGATTCTTTTTGTGCTGGGTGTCTGATCCCCGACAGTCCTGACTCCGCTCTGGATCAGCAAACTTTCTGTTGCTGCCATCTCTGGAGCTGCTCTCTCCGGCGAACAGTTAGTTCAACATTTGCCCTGTTAGCACAAAATAACTCAACAAAAGTGGCTAGCATGCAACACCAAGCAGTTTAATTGTCCCAAAAAACTCTCACTGTCCCACAAATGTCTTGACTCTGACGAAAAACCCGTTAACTGTTTGGTAATGCTAGCTGTGTGATGCTAACAGTTAGCCCTGTCACTGTGCGTGTGCAACCAGGTACACCCTCAGAACTGTCCCCAGAGTGGAGCTCACACTCCTGCAGCAGCAGCTATTGACAGGGCTGGCAGTTCAAAGTGCCGAACTGCCTTAAAAACAGTTGATAGTATGGCCATACTACACACCATTTACATTATGGGTATCAAACCAAGTACCCTGTCGTTATCAGTGTCACTTTAAGGGCACTGGTGTTGGTACTGGTATTGGTAACCCCATTAATCATTGATTTAACATAGCAAACCAGGTTGAACTATTGTTACATCCCTATTAGCTGTAGCACTGTGATATTTACTGGATTCACCTGCACTGCTGGAGCCAAAATGGCCGCTGCAATGACGTCAAGGCAGTGACGTGTCTTCCTCTGTGAGGTAGACTGTGCTCTGTTGTAGCTGTAAAGGCTGCGTTCAGGTGCTCTCTGTTCGGGGTGACTGTTGGGTGAAGAACATAGAGCTGCAAAGATCATTGTCTGCACAGAAGTGTGTGTGTGTGTCTCTGTGTGTGTGTCTGTGTTTGTGTGTTCCTGTGCTGCAGCTGTCAGCGGTGATGTGATGTGTGGCTTAGAGCCACTCTCACTGCTGTGTAACATGAAAGGGAGATTCTGACAGAAACAGATCAACATAGAGTGCACACATCCCCAAAAGTGCTTTAAATAGTGTCTGATCCCGAGTGTGGCACAAAAACCGGCCTACACCACCATATTTTATTGTATTTCTTCTCTTTCATATTTTAAAAGAAATACTTCTGAGGGTCATGTTTAGTAACACTCGGCTGTTAGATGCATTTTTACATTGATCTCTAAACCATTGAATATCATGCTGGCCAACTCCACAGCACCCTGATGTAGAGCACAGAGAACAAGTCCCTGTGGTGGTTGGTGCTGGTGGTGGCGGTGGTGGTGGTGGGCTTTACCGTCACCACGGCAACCAAGGTGTAGCTTCACCAGTTGCCGGGGGCAACAAGAGAGAAGCTGTGTATAGCGACACACAGGGGTAGGGAGCAGGGAGGGAGGGAGGGATGTGAAAGGCAGCAGGTGAGAGGAGGAGGAAGAGGAGGAGGAGGAGGAGTGGAGCGCTGGGTAGTTAGGAGGTGCAGAGAGCAGGAAGAGAGGAAAAAAAGGAGGATGAGAGGAAGAAGAGACATGATGGGGAAGAGGAGGAGGAGGAGGAGCAAAGTTGCCTCCGTTGCTGGGCAGGTACGTAGCAGTTCCTTTGAGTCTACGTTGAAGACATCGCCTCCACTGTTGTTGAGTTTTAGCTGCCCCCTTTCACAGTGTTAAATGCAGCCAGAAACGCTCTGACTCTGCAGCACAAAGCCCTCCACCATCCTTTAACCCTATCAGTGTATAATACACGTCTGATGCAATATTGGAATCACTTGAGAAAATTGTCTCAGCAAAAGTATTTTGATGAGACAGAAGGTTTCTGCGCTCATTATGCAATAACTCGAGATTTCTGCAGAGACGTACGTTCTTTGAGGAGCTTTGAGGACTCTGTACAGAGGTTGCAATATAAAGGCACGAACGTGTACCGGTAATTCAATTTCAGGTTCCACCATTATGATTAATAGTAAGAGTACGGAGAGAGTGGAAGGAAGTCATGGGTGTTATCAGGTTTTACGTCTCAGAAAGGGCTAAACCGCTGCTGTTATTCGTCCTCATTAACTTGACAGAAGAAGTATAATGTTTGAGCCTAATCATGAAGTCTGAAATTTACGACTATGTCCTGCTCTTTCAGCAGCGGTGTGAGTCACATTTGAGGAGTTCTCACCCAAGGATGGGGAAATATTGAGGGTTCCTTGTGGCTGTCCTTCTCTTCCTTCTGTTTTTTGTGCACAGCCTCTCAGTGTAGCTCATTTTAAGTCACATTAAAGAGATAGTTAGGATATTTTGAAGTAGGGTTACATGGTGTTACTTTTGCATAGTCAGTGTATTTACCTACAGTAGATGTCTGTCAGCACGCCCCCAGATTGGAAAAGCTTGCAGGAGTGCCGACATGAAAGCTAAGCAATGTACCACTGTGGACAGAAAGCAGCAAAACTTATTTTAGCCACCTAAAATTTTTTTAACAGGTTAAGTGTATGCCATATTGAGAATATTTTCACTGCTTTACCTTTCCGTCAGACAGCTCATTCCACTGGGGAAGCCATTAACGGCCTCAGTTCTCCATCCGTTCATCCATACAGACGCCACCAGACTCCATTGACAAAAACAGTAATTTAAGTTTGCTGAACACAGGAGCTGCTGGTCTATTGCTGCCTCAATTAGTAAGTTAGTTTGTGTTATTGTGTGTCTTTGTTGAATCCAAGTTGATCCTTTTCAATGCCAAAGTCACAGAATAACGCAAACAAACCATCTGAGGCAGCAGTACACAGGCACCTCCTGTCTTCAGCGACGTTAAATCATTGTTTTTCTCAATGGCGTCAGGCTTTGAAGAGAGCTATGTAACAGTTACTCATATAACCCCACTTCAAAAGATCTTAACTATCCCTTTAAAAAAGGAAAAACTAGAATTGACCTCAATGACCTGAGTGAACTCACACAGCAGGAGTGGTGACATCACTGCCCGAGCATCACCACGGCATCCATTTTGGCTCCAGCTGTTAGCAGAGTGTCCAGTTTAAGCTCCATCTTGGAGGGAATGTGTCATAGTTGTACGTGTGGGAGAAGTGTGGTTGAAAATTAGATTGATGTTTGACAAAATTGCAGAATAATCTAGCAGTAGGTGGTATCTAGCTTTCCAAATGTTTCTTTTAAAATCTGTGAGCTCCGCAAACAAAATTTCCTTCACCCTCCATTGTACTAGGGCGGCATCAAATATCTCAGAGACATATATCTAAAGCTGTGGGCAGTTAAAACCCAAACTATTTGCATGGTAATATAAGCTACAGGTAGGATTTTTGGTGAGCTGACTGCTAAATATGACCACCTAAAATCAACAAATGATGTAAAAGCAGAGCAGGTGGTAGCTAACAAAGGCAGTCAGTCTGCACCAGGCATGAGGGGGTTGTGGTGGGGTGGGGGGGAAGCTCGTCTCTGGGGACACCTGCTCTACCTGTGCAGCTGTTAGGAGATAATTAGGTGAGGCCTGCACCAGTGATTGGTTTTATGATGTCTAACTGCCTTTTGTTTGCATTGCCAGGTGGTTGCCTTAGCGATGGACGGGGACTCAGAACCAAACCCTGCCGTAGCAGAAGAGGCAGGGGAGCGGGTGGAGCCCATGGATGCCACTCCCTCCCAAGAGCAACAGACCACACCCCCCTCGGAGGAGGCCGAGGAGGCAGTTTCCATGGTAACAGAAGAAGATGGAGCCACAAAGGAGGGCAGCACAGAGGACAATGATGATGATGATGTGGTTCTGGTAGGGGAGGAGGATCCCCAGCCTTCTGCTACAGCCCTCTCCCAGGACACGCCCAGCACAGACTGCCTAGAGCAGGCTGCTGCCGTGGCAACTGTAGACATGTCCACGGCAGAGATGCCTTCCGTGACCCCCAGTTCTCCTGCGTCTTCCAGCACATCCACAGCAGCGGCAGCACCTCCGAAACCTCCAGCCACAGAAGCAGAGCCCATTGTCATTGACGACGAGGAGGACTCTGAGCAGAAAGACACTTCCTCCTCCTCACCAGCACACCCTGGAGGCTCCTCAGAATCCCACTCTCCAGGTGTACTCAGCAGCACTGAGCCAGATTCAGAGATCAGGATCGCCAGTGTCACCACACTGGGCTCCAGTAGCCAGAAAGGAAGCGCCACAGCTTCTGCAGTAAACACACCGCCACATCCAGCGGACACACAGGAAGACATGAACCTGATGATAACCTCAGTGACATCACTGCAGGGTGGGGCAGCGGCTGTCACAGCGGTGAGAATCACCAAAACTTTATATTTGTACTTGCTTTTGTCGAGTTCACATTCACCTCTGTTCTCTCTGTTCTTTTTAAGATATTGATTAAATATTTTTTGCCTTCTAATTAGTTTCAGGAAAAGCTGGTTCTTGTGATGTTGTCTGCTGGTAAACATTAGAGAAAGCAGGTGTTCTCTTTGGCGGAGCAGGTTTATTCCTGGAAAAGTATCTTTGTAATGACACTGCTGTAGGCTGATATTTTACTCCAATATTTATCCATCCAAGTTGCACTGGCAGCCCCTAGTTAGATGAGGCTGGACACACTGCAGGTTCCAGAGACTGCACAGCATATATGGCACCTTTGTTTTTCTGGGTTCCTTATGATCCTTTGTCACTAAGGAGAAACACTTACCTTAAGCACCTTGTCTGTCTAGGCAGGTGAAGGCCAGGCAGAGGAAAATGGTCTGCAGATTAGCAGTGCATTCAGCCTGAATCCCGACACCCCATCTGGTCGACCAACATCCTCCTTCAACCCCGGGAGGGGCTCAGGCCCCATGGGCCAGCTGGTGCAGAATGGAGACACAGGAACGCACAACAGAGCAGGTAATGAATTTATCATGCAGTGAGAAGAACTTAGGCATGTTCACACAGGTTAAATGTTATGACCAAACAGAAGCAACACATTTGGCTTCAGTCACTGCAGGGCTTGCAGGGTTGCAGAACTTGTAAAAAACTTGAGCCCCATAACACTGTCACCTGAAACCAGTAAACAATATCATGTGAGTGGTAGCAGGCCACACGTTTCTGTTTACTTTTTTTATTTATATTTTTGTTTTAGGCTCTTTGGCCCTCACTCCTACTCCTGATTGTGTCCATGTGAAACAGGTGGTGTCCTGTTTTAGAACTTTGCTCTGTGAAATTGCTGTTAGAAGCTCTGCTCTTAATTCATGACTCATTGGGAGTTCGGGGCTAACCTTGCTAAGTCCGATGGAGGGTGGCACATGGCCCTGGATTAAATATGCCAATCAGTATGTGCATATATATACATTACTAGATCAAACGTCCGTATTTTTCCTCTGACCTGTAGTACTGTTTATCAGCCTTGTTTGTTTTGGTTTGAGTTGTCAAGTGTTGGAGATATCAGCCATAGAGATGTCTGCCTCCTCTCCAGTATAATAGAACTAGATGGCACTCAGCTTGTGGTGCTTAAAGCGCCAAAAACCACATTTGACAAACTCAACATCAGTGCCTCTTTCCAGATGTCATGACCCAGTTACTCAAGATAATCCACAGACCTTGTTGTGAGCAGTTTCATTTAGGAACTATTTTCTTTCTACCACATTACACCCAGCGACTGTATCACTGCGCAGAAGGAGGTGAGTATCTACTGCTAGCTCATAAAGCACCTCTGAGCTAGCTAACGTTATACCTCAGCCAAGGAGGACACTGCTGTTTACATCTTGCGCTGTCTTGAGCACGAGCCTCTCAACCATGAGTAGATGCACATTTCCTTCTGCACGGCGATACAGTTGGCGTGTGTAGTTGGGGAGAGAGAAGATGAAACTGCTCAAACAAGGTCTGTGGATTATCTTGAGTAACCGGGTCACGATTTCTAGACAGAGACATTGCTGTTGAGTTTTCAAATGTATTTTTTGGACCCTTTGATCACCACAAGCGGAGTGCCATCTAGTTCCATTATATTGAAAAGAAGGCAGACATCTCTACAGCTGATATCTCCAACACTCTGCAATTCACACAAAAACAATTTAGACTGATAAATAGCCCTACAGCTAAGAGGAAAATATGTTTTTTGATTTCTTGGTGAACCAGCCCTCAGTCAAAACCACCTCTGAAACCACCTTTAATTGATTGGGGTTGGGGGATTAACAGATATACTCTTAAGGTGTTGAGACAGAAATTTGAGAAGAAACACAGCTGTCTCATCCATTCAAAAGGAGGATCATCCTGAAAACAGTCTGGTTTTACTTTTGCTTCAACATGATGCAAGCACACATTCCTGATGGATTACTTTGTAATGTGAGCGCTGCATTTCTACTGTTCACCCTGCAATCATCAAGAAAGGATAAATAATTGCTGGTGTGATAATTTTCCACATTTTTAGAATCCATCCTCATAGTATTAAAAGATGCTGTGCAGTTATTTTGTTGTCGTCGATAAGCCCTCAGACTCTTTGTTCTATCAGTCCTACTGGCTTTTCTGGATGGTTTTGTCTCATACCTGAAGTTAAGCACTCAGCCATGCCAGAAAAGGCAGAAGTGAAGAAGACGGCAAACTAGTCAGAATGGATGTAAACAAAGCAGTTTCATATTTTGAAAGAAAAATCTGCTTTGCAATTATTTTTATAGAAAGAAAGTGCCTTCATCACTTTTGTTGATGTTCTGGCATCACCAGATTATTGTGAGTAATGTGAATTAGTCTAGTCAACCTCTTGGTTGATAACACCTCCTGGAAATCAAAAATGAACTGACGCAGACCAAACTGCCTCTGGGCGCAACAGGATAGACTTACAACTAATCTTACACCAAGCAACCTCAGCGACATGTGCAAGTTGGGGTGGTGTTTGGTCCATTTTCAAGCAGGAAAAAATGGCAGCCTGGTCTCAAACTTTCTGAAATTATAGTGAAACAGCACACTAAAATGAGTTTCTGAAAACATTAGAGGAAAGAAATAGGCAAAACAGTAATAGAATCTTGAGTCATATTTGATTAGTGCTAGTTTGACAGTTTGATTTGGACTGGATGCACAACGCATGAGACCAATCAGAGCAGCAAAATGTGTGACGTGTGACTTCCAAATCTGGACTGGTGACGCGTATCTGTCAATCATTGCATCAAACCTGCCCCACATTAGGATACAGTTGTCATTGGCCCGGCCCAGGCCGTCTGGAAATCTGTCTGAACAGAAGGGGGACCAGACGCATCTGTCAGAGCAAATGAAACATGAGCTCGCAGATCCGTCTGGCTCCCAGGCTACAGGGCACCTTAAAGTAGGGAAAATGGTGTTTTCTGTCACTGCAGCCTCACTCTGCAGTGGGCTCAAAGCACCAAGCAGAGATGACGTTCACAACCAGAGAAAAACAAAAAGGAAGGTGGAGAGGAGGAGAACAATCAGATTACTGAAAAGTGGCATGCAAAGTTAGTAGAGTAACCAAGTAATGTTATTCATGTGAACCTGGGTCTTCAACAGGGGGTCGGAACTCCTGTGTCTGAAAATATACATTAACGTGAATCCAAGATGTTTTGCTTTGTGCACCAACTTATCTTTGTGAAAGTGGAGTTTCCCCCCTCACCTACCTGAAAAGCAAATACAGGTCAAGACTGCAGCCTGAGGCTGATCTGGCCCTCTGCCTGAAAATCTCCATCTGCCCAGTTTAATATGTAATGCACTTTTATACTATAAATGTGTTAGGGGTCCCTGCTCCATCTCTCTTTCAGCTGAGGCCTGAAAAAGTTTCAGAACCTTGAGGTTAAAGAATCCCAGTGTTCGCCCTGACACTCACTAAGTGAACCACTTAAATAAATTATGAAGATGAGCACAGCATCTTTGTGACATCATGGCTTTATAAGACAAAAAGAACCAGGCACAGTAGACTCCACCATAAGAGCACTGTGAATTGTGGGTAATTCGCTCAAACAAAATCTGCAGCACAGCTGCAGAGCTACGGAGATTGTGCGTATGGGGCTTAAATAGTTCCCCAGGGGGCCATCAGACACTTTGTGATTTCACGGTGGGACAGTCTGAGCCCTCACAGACTTATTGGCATTTAAGTCTTTGAAATGATAAGGTGGGATATGAGGACTGGGCCTGAGAGTTTTATGTTCCTGTGGAGCTCGACTCAGACTCCAGATGGTGCTGTTGTCTGCAGAGGTGCCTCTTTTCCAGAACTGGCTACTGGAGGATTTTTTTTTTTTTTTTTGGATGCATCATAGTTTCATGTCTGCAGTTTTAAGCCCTCACATCAGAATCACATTCTGAGCAGCCGCTTCCTGCTGCGCAGCATCTTATCTAGCTCTGCAACCACAACACAACAAGCAACAGATGTGAAGCTGAGCTGCTGTAGGTTAGATGTTAACAAGTGTGATGCTCTTTGCTGTTTGTCAGTGTTAGCTGGATTGTGAGAACGCTGTAAAATGGAGTATTTTATGATCTGATTGGTCAAGGTGCTCTGGTATGGGCCGCTCTAGAGGGTTAAACACATACCACATACTCTCTCCCTTAGTTTCCTGTCTGCCTCTCTGCCATCGAATGTCCAATAATGGCCAATGTCCAAAAAATGCTGAATAAATAATCTTGAAAATTGTTATTATGAAAGGAATGCAGCAAAGGTAGACATTTCCAGACTTCTGAAGTAATGAATGACATGGTTGTTTCATGATTAATATATATATAAAAAGATGCAGAGACTCATGTTAGAAACACACTATATGAACAGAAGTATGTCAACACTCATAGTTGACATCCATATTTTTGAACAACCAATTCCTCTTCTCCTCTGGGAAGCCTTTCACAAGATTTTGACACCTGGCTGCAGGGATTTGCTGCCATTCAGCCACAGTGGCCTCTCATGTTGGGCGATGAGGCCTGACTCTAAGTAGGTGTTTCAGTTCAGGGAAAGCTGAGAGACAAAGCCAAACTATGCACAACAGCCTCAAACCTTAAGTACACAAAGCTGCAGTATATGCACAGGCTTGTCCACATACTTTTGACGCATCGTGTATATTTGTAACAGTGCGACCAGCATTTAATATAATTGATTAAATCATTAAAGCAGGGGAAGACAGATATCTGGAAAAGAATTTGAAAATACACCCCTCTCTGTCCTAAGCCCCTCCCACCAGACGACCACAGGCATATGCACACCCTTCATACAGTAACCCAGTGTTTCCCATACACTGATTTATGTAATTTTCCCATACACTGATTTATGTAATCTTATTTCATTGTACAGGTACCAGCATCTCACTCACTCAGTCCCTCCTCATCCCGCTCTTTCTGTTCATCAGACCACAAATGAGACAAGAATGAGCTGCTAGCCACCCCACGATCCCTCCACCTTGCCCCTCGCCGCTGTGGCCTGCTTTCCTAGAAGGAGAGCAGTCAGCAGCTTGGGAGATGGACTTTCTGTTGGCGACTGTAGCAGTTTGAATTCACACAGGGCAAACCCCTCAGTGCGGGGTGTCACAGCAGGCTGTTGACCAGTGACAGCGCCGGGTCTAACTTGTGTTCTAACACTGTGATTCAAGGCTGTAGCTAACGTTAGCTACATAACTTAGTCAGTGCTAAGTTGCTTCTACAGTAATGGCATTCAAACGTCAATCAGTAATGGTACAGAAAATTTAAAAAAAACATGGCCATGCACACACATTGTCAGTATTCTCTGTGTTTCCCTGATAAACCTACACTCACTGTTTTTGTTGTTAGCTCAGGAAAAATAAAGATGTCTAATGGAGACAACTTTCTTTCTCTCTTTCCCTCAGACTCGTGGATCTCTCAGTCAGCGTCGGTCCCCCGCAACCAAAAACAGACAGGGGTTGACTCTCCGTCACCGGCCACCTCCCTGCCCAAACCTCCAGGCCAGTCTTCCTCATCTACTTCCTCCTCAGGCTCCCAGCCACAGCCCAGGACAGTCAAGGTGATCCACTTTGTTCATTGAGGTCATTATGTATAGGAAAACTGTAACATGGCGCACAACAACTTCATATGCTCGACTCAAAAAGGTGTGTGTTAAAGGTATACTGTGCAGGATTTCTTTATAAAAAACTATGTACAGACAAAAGTTAGCCCTCTCAGTCATCACTAGAAGTGTGTGGCGGTGTATTTATCTGCAGAGCCTCTGCCCTCTGCCTGTATTTTCTTACTGTTGCTGTGTCAAGACGTTCCTGCACCAAAGTGAGGTCCGGACTTTATAAAAAGGAAGCAACCATGGACCAGACTGTAAGCAGCAGGCATCCAAGATGACGCTAGGAAACTCAAAGACACAGTGTCGGAAAAAATGCAAATTTGGCAGAGTGAATTTGGGGTTTCTTCTCACTTTTCTGATGACAAGCAGTGTCCGACAATTCCTGCATAGTATACGTTTAAAATATTATCTCAAGCACATTGCAACAAAATGCCACTGAAGCTAATTCAGAGTTGTGTTATTTGATATATTTTAATTTGAAATATCATGGAATTTAACGCCTAAGTCTCTGCATTCAGTACCTTTTTTATTCTTTGGTTAATAGTATTTCCTGCGTCGTGACATTTGTGCAGTAGAAAATTTAGGATTATAATTCGTCAATGCCCCATTTTTGTCTTTTCTGCTGTGTTTAATTTCAGTTACATTGAAGCCAGCTGTTGCTAGGAGAAAGGTGTCCAAAATATCTAGAACCAAAGTTTTACATGACCAAAATGTATCTCCAGTGGTTGCACAGCAGGATGCTATTTCATTTGGCAGCTAAAGGTGTAAAGTCATAGATTACTTATTGCCGCTGTAAACCTGCCCTGCACCTAAGTCATTGTTCTGTTTGTTGATCCCAGGTGACGTGTGCCAACTGTAAAAAGCCTCTGAAGAAAGGCCAAACGGCCTACCAGCGCAAAGGCTCCACACACCTGTTCTGCTCCACCACCTGTCTCTCTGCCTTCTCACACAAACCCGCCCCCAAGAAGAGCTGCACCATGTGCAAAAAGTGAGTCTCAATCCTGCAGGTGCAGGAAACCCACTGAATGAGAAACATATCATGGTTTGAATTTAGGATTGTGCCGGTAGCATATGAAGTACATTTAAAAGTAGTGTGGTGGTAACAGTAAACTAAATCTGTGGTTCAGTGCGAGTTCAAATTAAGGAAAAATAAGTGGTTCTTTTTTTAAAATGAATGTCCAGCCTTTTTTCCAACAGTATCTACTGATTTTAACAACAGTAAACAAAGACATACACATACACACACATATCCACAAACACACAAAAAGAAAAGGACACCAGAAGCTGGGCTGGGCACTGGTTCCTCAGTGCCCAGCCATGTTATTGAATATATTGACTGTGTGTGTGTGTGTGTGTGTGTGTGTGTGTGTGTGTTTATATTTGGGGGTGGGAGGGGCGGGTTTTCAATATGTATGTATTATTTTTGTTTGTTTTTATTCTGTGAAGCACTTTGTGCTACATTTTTAATGTATGAAAAGTGCTATACAAATAAAGTTTGATTGATTGATTGATTGATTGAATTAAAAAAAATAAAATAAAATAAATGAATAAAGATTCAGGGAAATAAATAAATAGAAAAAAATGAGAAGGGAGAAAAAATCATAAATTACAGTCAGACGACAGCTCTGCTCTGATCTCTGCTATGTTCACATTTTAGAGAGTGTCATTTATATTTTCCTCATTAATGATGTATCATTTTTCCCACCCATAACCCATTTACACGTCCCTGTGTGTGTAACAAGCGAGCAGAGTGTACAGGCGTTGTGAACCTGTCTATGTTAATGCATATTCCTATCTGAGTTATGAGCCCTTTAAATAGCACAAAAAATACTGCACTATTCTGACTTTAGACCAGGTTTTTGTTGGTCAATGGCGCAATCGCTTTCTGCTGCCTCAAGATATCAATACGCCAACAATGCACCTGACCACACCTCATTTTAAAACCTACACGCCCATGGGTGCACAGATGGGTGCAAGTACATTTGCTACTTGCACAATGTCTATGCTGGCCGTAAAAATAAAAACTTGCACAGAGCTGTGTGCCACTTCGTACAAGATAGTTAAGATAGGGCCCAACATAAAAGAGAAGGACAGCTGATATTCTGTTTTCTAACTGATACACATTTTTTTGCAGGTGTTAATTTACTTGTGTTCTGTGATGTGTGTGTGTTTTTCAGGGACATCACAAACATGAAGGGTACCATCGTGGCGCAGGTCGACTCCAGCGAGTCTTTCCAGGAGTTCTGCAGCACGGGCTGCCTCGGCGCATACGAGAACAAGCAAAACCCGCCCAAATCAGGCCTCAAAACCAAATGTACTGTCTGCGGCAAGCTCACAGAGGTCAGTCTGTCCGACACACTTAGCAACACACACTCCTCTCTTGTCCTCGGTTCTCCACCAGAGCAACACGTGTCTCTATAGTCCTGACAATGGGATGAATAATTGAGAAGCAGTTGGTGAAAAAGTACGAGCGGAGTGAAACAACCAAACTGTAGAACGTATAGAAGCGAGTCTGTGTGCAGCTTTACTGAAGTATGATCAGGCTTAGTGCGATCCAGAGGGGTGTCTAATAATGTGACTCCCTCAGGGTGCATGAAACATCACAAACATCCTTCAGTGTACTAGTCCAACACACACAGCCTCAAAGCAGTGAGCATGGCTGACTCTTAGTCTTGTTCAGCTTCACCTTCTCTTCGTTTTTCACATTCTTGGCTTGGATGTTTGTTTTTTAAAAAGTCAAGTCCTGTCGCATTTTATTTATTTTATTTACATTTCCACACCTCTTCTCCTTTTTGTCTTTGATTCTTATTCATTAAAGATCCACTCCAGCCAGCGTTACTTCCTGTTTTTCAGTTAAAGATCTTTCTCAAATGGAGAATGGGGTTGTGGTTAACAGCCGGATGTAATCCATTACTATGGCAACCAGATTGCTTTTACAGTGTACGTGTCAGAGCAATAGATATTAGCATGGATAGCTCATGAGTCATGAGGTCAAGGATTTTCCTCCACCTCCATCATCTGAGAGAAATATGAATGAATTTGAATCGATATTTCCTGAAATTCAGTTTGTTCTGATGACGACTGCTTAATGTAACTAAATAACTGGGCAACATGTTTGTCAGAAAGTTTCTGTAACACCAACAAGTTAATGAAATACCCTAATTTTAATCAATATTTCCTGTCAGTTTACAGTTAACAGTTAACTTTTATAAATAAGTTAGCCATACTGTATGTCAGCTACTTTATACCAAACAGGGCTTCCACTCAAAGGTCTTGATCCCCCTGTCTGTAATTATGTTACCAGTACCAGCTGGTAGTTGCTTAGTAACTTAATCCCTTACACTGCCTACATTAGGCTGTAGATGTTAACTTACCCATATTGCACAAATTCAGCGAAAATGTTTTAAGTTTCACAGTGCTCTGCCTTTGTTCAAAAACCAAAGAAACATTTCCAAAACGAAAGCTCGCCATCTTGTTTTGCTTGTGACTCTCACAATCCTACAGTGAATGTGCGCTGCAGGTGTAGCCATCAAAAGGAGGGTTAGCTGTGCGAACGGTCTGCATCCGTTATGTCTTCAGTAGCTTCTTTGCATATGGTGTCGTCAGTGTGTTGTCCAGATGGATTGCACAAATGCCTATAACTTGTGCTGTTTATGGCTGTTCTAGTCAATGAAACGGGGAAAAAACTAAGGCCACTTTAAGTTCAGAAAAAAGTAGGACGTAAAGGGGAGAAGTAAAAAAAACAACAACAAAGAGCTAACTGAGAAACAGCGACAGGTGTTGATCCAAAACCTCCATCTTCAGTCTGGAGGAGCAGAGTCAACTAATGTCAAACGTAAAAAGCAATTACAATGTACTGTAACAGCTTCTCCATGTTTTTAGCCACGACGCAGATTTTTAACAGCATTCCAGACCCCTGGAAACTGTTGACCTAGTAGGTAGAAGACAGTAGCTAAAGTTAGCTAACGTTAGCTCATAAGATTAGCCTGACAGTGGTGCATCCATGTACAGAGTTGAAACATAAAAGACAGCTATACTCAGCACTTTTACTCACCTGAGAAAAAGCAAGATGGCAGTTGTTGAAGAATAGTTAAAGTCCACTAGACTCTTGTGCACTTTCATCTGCTTGCCATGTAACGTTAGTAACACTGGGAGGTGTGATGGATCACTCTTCTGTGTTTTGTCTCGATCACATCCAATATGAGTTTCAATTTTGTGACATACCGGCTGCCTGCAGGCTCATGCAACTCTTTCATGTAGTCAGTTTCCTCTATGTCTAATTCAAGCAGTATATAGATTTATCACTTCACTGAATTTTGCCGCTCGTAATAGTCATGTGATTGCCAACAACCTATTCAGAGAAAATACAAGATAAGTTGACTGACTAGCTCACTATTGATGTTCATCAGTTTTTCCCTTTTGGATGCAAAGAGGTATGACAGTGCACCTGCACAAGCTTGGAGGATAACCTCTGACCTGCAGCTTCTACTATAGTCTTACATCATCTTCTTGTTTCAGCACAAAACTAAGTTATTTACCAAAAAGTATTTCAGGAACAGTGTGGCTCAACAACATTGTCAAGAAATGACTCAGAAAAATGTTGAATATGATAAAAATGCCAAAACACACAGGAGTGAGGCTTTAATGAACAATCTCAAACCACCGTTTCATCGCTTCTGTCGCTCCTTTATTGTTTTCCTCTTCAGGCCACTTTCATTCAATATTTATCTCTTTCTTGTTCCTCGTCCTTCATCACTGTTCTCTCGTTCACTCTCCTTTCTTTGCTTCTCTCTTCTCTCCTTCCATCCTTGTCAGCATGGCGTCTCAGGGCCTGTTTGCAGCAGGCCTTCAGCTCAGTCTCCATGGCCGTCTCTTATATTCAGTATTAGTCTGTGGGGTCATTCTGTTTACTTGCATTGCTGTGTGCCTTGGCTAACCAGTACTTCTGTCACCTAGCAACCACAACTATCTGCTTTGTGACATCCTAAAATAATTTGCATTATTTATTTCTTCCTCTTGATTTCTTTTGTATGTAAAAGCACCAACAATGCTCCTGTCGTACTACGCTAAAAAGGATTTGTTAAGTATAAAACGTGAACAGAATGCCTATGAAAAAATGAATTTAAAAACATTATTTTTCTTTCCTGTCTTTCCCAGTAGCTTTAGTTTTTAATTATTCTAATTGCAGCATATTGCAGCTTGTCATGAGTTGTTCATGGGCCGTCCTTGGAATTGAAATGGCAAGTTGGACAAGTCCTACAGGGCGTTAAGTCCCGCCTTACTGTGCTGTGATTGGCTGCAGCGCAAAACTTTAATCGCCAGGGTTGGAAATTAGCACCAGCTACCTGTAAAATGCGGGTTAAATATGCAAATGGATGCTAGATTTGCTTCAACCACCAGCCAAAAAACAATTGTAACCTACTGGCTGCCTGGTAGATTTTGAATTCCACCAGCCACAGTGGCAGGTGGACAAAAAGTTAAATTCCAACCCTGTTCTTTGTCCAATCATAGTGGGCAAACGTTTGGAGAAATCCCCTGGAAAAAAAAGACTCCACAGTTCCACATCTCCACATCCAGGAGTATGTGGACACTTGAGGAAAGCTTGGCTCAGGCCCTCCCTCTGGTTCTCTGGCGAAGGAACAGAGCACAGTCTGGGTCAGTGGGGCTTGCTGGAGGCTGCTTAGGGCCTGTGAGGCAGATCCAGGCAACTGAGAGTCAAGCCAGGCCCAACAGATCATGCTGGAGGCTTTATGAGGGCTGGAGAGGTTGTCAAGAGAGCCAGGGTTTGAGAACCTGAAGGAGGGCAGGAGGTCTGCAGGGTTCAACATGCTCTGCAGTTCCTGGCTCTCCTCTCACCAGCCACACCTGCCTCCTCAGCCCCGATAAATTTAGAGGACTAAAAGAACAGTTACCTGGAGAAATTTTAAAGAAAGGTAAATGAAGTTGTAGTCAATCAGGCTCTTGCTTCATCTTCTCCATTTCTCTCTCTCTTCACAGATCCGACACGAGGTTAGCTTTAAGACTGTGACCCACAAGATCTGCAGCGACACGTGTTTCAACGTCTACCGCAGGGCCAACGGGTTGATCATGAACTGCTGCGAGCAATGCGGCGACTACCTTCCCAGCCGAGCGTCAGCAAACCACTTCCTGCTGGTCGACGGCCAACAGAAACGCTTCTGCTGCCAGAACTGCATCAGGGACTACAAGCAGGTACTGTAGGCCCAACCACAGGCTGCAGGTGTGTGACGTGCCTGATTGGAGCCTGTGTGATTGATTCAGTTATTTCACTCAGCCGTATCCATTTAAACTACAGCTCTGGGGCCTCATTTATAAAGCTTGCTTACGCACAAAACGGGGCTTGAAAGTGGCGTACGCCTGTAAGCAAACTCTGAGTCATGTGTGCGTACATTTTGGAAGACACTGGGAAGTGGCGACGCAGACGGCGAGGTGGAGAAGTGGAGTCAGATTTTTATTGATGTCTCACACAAATTTAATGTCACGCTATATCCACCTTAGATCCACGTTATCATTGAAATTAAATCCAGCAGCCTTATTTTGCACTTGGAGTGAGTGATAATTGTTTCATAAAAATGCTGTAAAATCCAACTCAAATCCTGAATTGAAATTCTTTCTAAATACGTATTTAATCCGCACTGCCTCTAACGTCTCATTGTCCACTCTGTGAGCGCAGGAGGGGGGAGAGGGCGGCGCGACTGCATGGAATATATTTATTTATTTAGCTAAATATTTCCAGTGCATTTATCATGTCTCGAAATACAGCCATTAAGCACAACCGTTACACTCATTTCAACAGCCCTACTTAGACATGCTGTTCATGACAAAACCGGCATGAAGAAACATGTTCGCCTATTACACTTTCATCTTTGAATTGTATTTCAAATTACACGTTGTATTTTGGGACAGGGATACCAATGGTTCATGCTGTAATTCAGGCCGGGTGTCTGATCAGACTGATTGCCATAAACATATAAATACTGCGGTGACCCTCGCGCGTAATTGCGCAAAATGGCACTGGCACATACTCCTTTTTGCCTCCACCTTTAATAAATGTGATTCTTCATGTCGCACATCAATGTCAAACATCCTCAAATTTAAAAGCAACACATTAATTACATGTTGGTAAAGGAGTAGAAATATTTGGTCTACTTTTAGATCAGACCACTTTTTTTTCTCTGTCACTGTCCGTGCAGTCCCACAGACACAGCTGACAGCATCAGCAGCGCTGATGTGTTGCCACTTTTTTTGCTTTATTAGTGATCCCGCTGCTGTGGCCACCAAATAAAATCTTTCTCCACCTCCCGTTAAAGGGTCTCGAGCTCAGTCTCAGAGAAATTCCATTTTTTTGGTTCATTTCTCACACCTGTCGCTGTGACTCGCACAACGAGAGAACACTCGCATGCCGGCTTATTTATATGCAGATCGCATTCATGAGGTGATTTGCATGACCATTTATGGTTGAACTAGGGCGTGTAGAGGGCGGCATATGAGGCGGATCTGGGTGCACACAACTCCAGGAGGTCTGTGATTTATAAAGAGAACATTGCGTGCAAGTGTGCGTGCACACGGTTTTATAAATCAGATTATGTTTTGGTGCACGCCATTTTCAGCTTTTGGGCACATGTCAACTTTTAGTATGAATCCTAAGCACTCTTTTATAAATGAGGCCCCTGCTCTGTCAGAGTAATGTAGCTGTGGTGACCCCTCCTCCTCCTCACAGCCACGACCCTGCCCCCACAGCCACTGACATGTAAATACAGTAAAATGGCCTTGTTAGTCACCCTCCTAAAATATTAAGATATATTTAAAACATTACAGTTGCAGTAACACAAGCGAATAAAAGGAATTTAATATTGAAGCCACAGTCTGGTCCTTGAATGGACATGAAAGTGAAGTTCTGTCTGTCCACAACATCTGCACAGAATAGTGCTGCTCAGATAACTTCTGTTAAAGAAAGAAAAAAGTGGTCTGCATGAGGGATTAACCTGTCCCCCATCAGCCACTGCCACTATGCCACATACAATCAACACTGTGTTTTAGTCCAGCAACTATTCAAACTTTAACATTTTAGAGCGTATAGGGGTGTAGAGCGTAATGATGGAAGTATATGACGACCATTACCATGCTCAATTATGTCTCATAAGTTGTTGCAGCAGTTTTTGGGTTGATACCATTTGTTACACAGATTTGGTGCTAAATTTAAGCATTTTTCTACCTCTCAAGAATGGGCACGCTGGAGGGATTACATATCTTATCTGGCCTGGGAACACCTTGGGGTCCCCCAGGAGGAGCTGGAAAGTGTTGCTGGGGAAAGGGGTGTCTGGGGTGCTTCGCTCAGTCTGCTGCCCCCACGACCCGGCCCGGATAAGCAGATAAAAATGGATGGATGGAACCTAATGATTCCGTTGGTCATCTAGTTTTGTATGACACCAGTATCATCACTATCATCCAGCTACAGCCTCTTAAAGACAGTAGTGTCAGCCAAGGCTGCTGGCATCCTAGTGGAATGGAACAAGAAGGATGCAGACATAAGAAACATTTGAACATCACTTAAAGGGCCAGTGTGTAATATTTGGCATGGTTTATTGTCAATCTGAATCTGAATCTTCTACCCATTAATATGTTTATACAAGTGTATAATCGCTATAAAATAAAATTCGTTTGGTTTTCGTAGCCTTATAATTATGCTTTTATATATGTATATAGCAAGGGCCTTGCTTTAGAGAGGTCGCCATCTTGCGCCGCCATGTATGTACGGCAGACCGAGCGGACAATCCAGCCAGCCACAGAACGCGTTTCGCGTGTATAAATAAACCAACGAAGACAGCGGAAGGAAGGAAGAAGGAGGAGGAAACAGCAGAGAGTGTTAGTAGTTCGTCGATGGAGAGTAGTGAAAAGTTTTTTTAGTTATAAAGTTTGCGAATGGACCACACTTACCACGCAACAGGAGAGAATGAACCCGAACCGTCATCTGCGAGGAAAAGAAGACGCAACTTCACTCCTTGTGATGCACTCTCTGCGGCGCTTTTCCTCCTGATGATATATCTCCCCAACGATGGTAGCAGTAGCACCGAATCCCATTCTGTGCATTCAGCCTCTCTTCTCGCCCGCTCAGCATCAAACACATGGAGTTCCTCATCTGTATGCTCCGGCTCAAACAGGTATGGCTCTGGGTCTGTGTCCGCTACAAGAAACTCTTCAAAATCGCGTTCAAAGTCGTCCATTGCAGCTACTATAGTCCGGAGATATTGCTAGGCTAAATAAACAGCTGAGCTCTGTTTACCGGCTACGCTGTCAGTCAGTGTGCGGGCTGGAGATTGGTGGAGCAGAGAGGGGAGGGGGTTCCCCACTCAGTATGGTAAACGAGTATGTGTGTATGAAGTGTGTCTGTTACGCTAGAAGAGTCAGAGTTTGGGACGGAGTCTTTTACCCGACTGGAGTGTTACTGGAGTTTTTGGAGTGCTCAAATAAACTGGCCTTTTTCCCGAACGCTCCTCTGGTCTCCTGCTCGTGAGGGATTCATTACAATATCGTAACATGGTTTAGATTTCTAAATAAACATTCACCTCGTCGCTAGATAGACCTACTCCTGAAAAACTCGTGCGCAAGGCTTTTTGTCCCTACGAGGCCACTGTCATTTACCTTATGGGAGGTGTGAGCTAGTGAGTCCTGCTATTTAGAATTTGACCACTGATGTCACTGTTTTCAACCCATTTCACACACTGGCCCTTTAATTAGAGAATTACAAAGAAAATATGTAGCTGTCTGCTCCTCTCATGTGGTGGAAATTCAGTTTATTTCCATGTTGGGATCCACTATAATTGTTATTTTAGAGTAAAGGTGCTTTCCTGATCATGAAGGCTGATGGATGGAAAGTCACCAGCCTGTGTCACAGTTTAACGTGTCAGGTTATGTGACCAGGAATCTCCAAATGATGATTGGCAGGGTTTAATGGGACATAATTCCCACCTGTAATGCAGAGTGTGACTGCAGCATACAGAACAGATCAGTGCCCAGCACAGCTCTGGATCTCTTTTAGACCTCCAGTACAAACCAGATCACAGAATTACTAAATATGTTACTACTAAAGTGTGTTGCTATGCAATATTAACCAAAGATTAGATGCTGGAGTTGTAGTCTTTGCTTGGCAACTCCAGCTTATCAGAAATTCCATCAGTACATGAAAGAAAGAAAGAAACTATGGAGTCTATTTCGGAGGTGTAAAAATTGAAACGACAGGCTGATTCCGCTGTTATGAATTACACTGCAATGTTCTGCTGGGAAACCTTTGGTCCCGGCACTAATGTGAATGTCATGCCACACACCCAAACACCTCTGCAGAGCAAGTACACCCGGTCATTGCAACGGCACTCCCCAATGGCAGTGGCACCCCGAGCAGCACAATGCACAATGCCACACCACAAAAACTGCTCAGGAATCACCCGAGGAACATGAGCCAAGAACTCAAGGCGTAGACCTGGCCTCCAAATTCCCCAGATCCCAACTGATCAAGAATCTGTGAGACGTGCTGGTAAGCCCAACCCTCAGTGGAGCTGGGCTGAGGCATCAGGTGGCTCCACATGAATGTCAGGACCCAAGGTTCCCCAGCAGAACGTTGCATCGTAATGAGATGATCAATGTTAATCACTTCATCTGTCAGTGTTTTTAATGTGTTGGCTAATTGGTGTTTACAATTGTATACAAAATTTGCCTTTCCCCATTTGGTCTTCTCTAAATGTCTTCTCTATATCTGACTGGCTCTGTCCTGTGAAAGGGTACAAAAATCCTCAAGACTGGCAAACTACCAGTTCCTCTAAATAGAAAAATCATAACTCGTGCCAGCAGGAGACAAAATCTTAACTCTGTAACGCCTCTGAGTTTTAAAGCAATTTTTGAAGAACTGAAATCGATTCGGTAATGACAGTTGTGCAGACTGAGGAGAATTACTTTATTCTTCACTCTGGTGTCATTCAACCTTTTTTGTTGTACTTTGTAGAAATAAACAGATAAAAGTGAAAGTGGTGCCAGGTCTCCCACACATATTGGAGATATATTTTATCAATAACAGGACAAGGAGTGTAATCGATGTGCTTATGTGGCGGAGCTGAGGGTTCAGAGAGCAAACATGGAGACTATTGGCTACCACGCATGAGAGATTTGTGCTGTTTGCTTCTCTAGTGCTCATATGTCATCAAGGCTTACTCAACAATGTTCAGGAAATGTTCTGGATTTCTAATAAACACATTAAAACCTCCAAAGAAGAGGATCCATCCAGACTTCTCACATATCATAATAATCTATATGGTTCTTTTTGGTGCACCTTGATGTTCCTCCACCATGCTGCATCGTTGCTCATTTCTTCCATGTTCTTGAAAGAAATCAAGCCAATTAGTTCAGGTTTCAAAGGGTTAAATATGCTCTCATTGTCACTACAGAGCATTAAGTTGCCTTTTGTTTTTCCTCTCTGTCCCAGGCCCACAGTAAACTTGCGAGCTGCCTGACCTGCAAAACGCTGATCAAGACGGGCGAGGTGCTGCACAGCCTCGGAGCGGGCGGCACCATGGGCTCCTACTGCTCCGTCAACTGTATGAACAAGGGCAAGCTGGCGACGACCTCCTTCATCAGTGAGTCACCAGAAACACATAATACAGAAACAGAGCACAATCTTTCCAGCATCAAGGATATAATGTACCTTTCACTTTAAACCTTTTACCATGTTGAAAATGTTTTAGACGAGACAAATGTTTGGGTCTTCAGATCGAATTCTGTAGAGTGATGATGGAAAAGTGAAGGAAAAGCTCCTGTTTGATCGTTATTATTCATCCCCGCATATTGAACACACAAGTAGGAGAAATGGTTGCTTGCGTTCAAAGACCTTCAAAGTCACGAACATGTGTAATAAATGCATTTCTGTGTGAGTTTCAATCTTCATTTATTATGTTTGTGTGCAGACACAGAGCCCACATGTCACTTCTGTAAGAGGAATTCATTACCGCAGTACCAGGCCACCCTGCCAGAGGGAAACATCCTCAACTTCTGCAGCTCGCAGTGTGTCACCAAGTTCCAGGTGAGGACTCTTTTCTCGTTTGTCATTTCAAAACCAGAAAACACATAAAAGCTACATTTTACAGTGGAAACAGTGGCCACACTGGTGGATATTTTCCATCTGAGGGGCCAAGGATTATTTGAAACAATCGTTCTTTGATGTAGTTGAATGAAATCATCATATTGTTTCATGCAGCTGCAGTGAGAATGAAGCAAGACGCTTCTGAAAATAACCATACCTGCATATTTATCTCATACATTATACAGATAGTATACTTAATAGATAATTGGAGCAAACTAGACGTACTGATTGTTGGTGTTTCTGTCGCCTTCTGTGCTCGAGTGTGAATCGAGTTTATTGCCTACTAGGTTTTCACATACAGCAAATTTGCCTGAGTGTTTTTGTCCAAGAGAAAAAATAAAAATTAGATACTTAACAAAAAATACCATGAAAAATGGACAATATATCTGTTTTATTCATTGTGTACTTTTTTTCATATGATTTATTATAACTGTTTTCATTCTACATTTGTTTCTTGTAATTGATTTATATTTTGTGCGTGCCTGGAAAAATAATAATAAATAATATAAAATAAAATAAAAATAAAATACTGCAAGAAACATGAATATAGCACAGAAAAAATAATAATAGAAATATGACAAAAATATTGTGAATAATGCACAATATATCTGTTTCCTTTATAGTATTTTTACATATTTTATATCTTTTTCCACTCTACATTTGTTTCTTGACTTAATAGTACTTGATTTTTATCTTTTTGTGGCTAAATAACTATAATAAAAAAAAATAAAAATCAAGCACTGCAAGGGACATAAATATAAAAAGCATTTATATTGAGAATCTTAAAAAAACAAACAAACTGTAAATAAATAATATATCTATTTTATTAATTGTTTTTTCCCCATCATTTTTATATTTTTTTTTATATTTTGTATTTGTTTTGCAGCATTGGATTTTTATTTTTATTCTGTTTATTTTATTATTTTTTTCATGTGTGTAAGAAAAAAAACAGGATCAAACACTAAGAAGTCAAGAAATATAAAAAAATAGAACAGAAAAAAAATAAAAATATGAAAGGTGTTTTATCCATAGCATTTTATTTTTATTTATTTATTTATTTATTTATTTATTCTGTAAACCTTTCTATTTGTCTCTTGACTTTTTCCCTACAGATAAGTAAGAACAAAACCCGGGTTAACCGATATCGTCTACTAATTTGACACATCCTCATGAAAACAGCGGTTCAAAAACACAAACATTAAACTCCACAGGTTCCCTCAGAGGAGTCGATGACCTGATTAGTGTTTTAGCATTAATTTGCATGGTAATGTGAAAACAGACTTTCTTGAAACTATCCGTGTGTGTGACAGAGTTCATCTCGTATAATACCACCCACATGTACAGAGAAGTTTGTGGGCGTAGAAATATTTGCAAGTCAAAGCGTTAATTAGCTTCATCAATTACCTCTGTAAGTACAACCAGGTGGTGTGTTTTGATATATCAAGTACAAGATGCTCATGGAGGGACATCAGACAAGTTGTTGTTACGCACCAGCTGCTCGTTATCAAAAGTTGTGTGATGTCTTTTTTAACAGAATGCGACTCTTCAGACGGCGACTAACGGACAGACGCCCCTCTCCACCACAAACAACACCGTCCAGCTGAAATGTAACTACTGTCGAGGAGCTTTCAGCTTGAAGCCCGAAATCTTGGAGTGGGAGGTGAGACCATCCCGAGGAGTGGTTTATACAGACATCACAGGCAGACAGTGAAGTGACTGGTGTGTAGTAGAGCCATACTCTCAAACTTTTTGGTGCTGTCTCAGGGAGCTGAACTGCCACCTCTATTACATACATCATACTTGAATTAATCACCGACTGCTGCAGGAGCGTGAGCTCCATGTTGGGGACAGTTCCGACAGTCCGCCCAGCCGTTCATACACAGTGACATGGCTAACTGTTAGCATGACGTGGCTAATAGATTTGCGACGATATGAAACCATTTTAGAATGTTGCAGAGAAAGGTTGCAGCAGTGTGAACTGGCCGGTCTGAGCTCGACTCAAGCCAGCTGATGGTGTCACCTGCACTTCAGCTGGTCAAATCACCAGTGGCTGGTTTTAGAACGTAAAGCACGTCACCTGTTTCTACAGCCAATCAGCTTGTAGTGAAGTCTGCTGGTCAAGTCAAAATGGCTGCAGACAGTGTGTTCGCTTGCTGCGCCAGGTTCTCTGTCCCTGCCGAGCCCTCTTTTTCCGTCCTTACGGTGTGCCAGTGTCAGCTGCTGGGTTGCTGCCGCTGCTCACTGTATCATCACTACTACAATGCACCTGTAGCCAGTATCTCACTATCACTATCCTCTTTCATACAAATTATATTCAGCCACAAAATAACCTTGAGAAGCTGCAAATCAGAACAGAAGTACAGAGAGTTGTTGCGTAGAGATGATACACCGTCTCATGTAGTTGCATTGGTGTGAACCGGCAGGTTTTTAGAACGGCGCATTGCAAGTAGTTGCTTGTTTCAACTCGTCTCGTCACAAATCTTTGGTCTGAACTGGACTTTAACGCCAGAACAGGTACAAGTCATGTATCTGTGTGTCTTCAGGATAAGGTTTACCAGTTCTGTAGTAAGACGTGCTGCGAGGACTACAAGAAGCTCCACTGCATTGTGACATTCTGTGAGTACTGCCAAGAGGAGAAGACGCTACATGAGATGGTTAAGTTCTCAGGAGTCAAGAGACCCTTCTGCAGCGAAGGTACTTATCCCCTCCTCTTCCTCTCCTCTGCAGGACACTTTAGTCAGAGAGTCTAGTTGTAACCCCTGGTGGCTTTCATTTTAGTTGTGCCTTCAATTGTTTGCTTGCCATTTTTAAATATAATAATTGTATGCATTTCATCTGTTTGCTATCCATGGTTTTGATTTGTTGCTTCCAAATGAGACTGCTTTCCAGTTTATTGATCTTTTGCAATTTCATTACTGTTTTTCCTTCCAGGCTGTAAGCTGTTATTTAAGCAGGATTTCATCAGACGACTGGGTCTGAAGTGTGTCAGCTGTAACCACTGCAACCAGCTCTGCAAGAGAGGTTTGACCCGGCAGCTTGGCGGCATGACCCGGGACTTCTGTAGCGAGGCCTGTGCCAAGAAGTTCCACGACTGGTACTACAAGGTCCGCTCATACTCAGTGTGTCCGTCAATAACTACCATGAACATACTCAGGAATAAGTGTTTGTGAATTTTCTGAACCTTTTCCTGTTGTGGCCACCAGGCGGCGAGGTGCGACTGCTGTAAGGTGCAGGGTAACCTGACGGAGTCTGTGATGTGGAGAGCAGAGATGAAGCATTTCTGTGACCAGGAGTGTCTGTTGAAGTTCTACTGCCAACAGAACGAGCCCATCATGGTGACACAGAAAGGCCCTGAGAACACCACACTGGGTACGAACTCTGTGTGTGTGTGTGTTTCCTTTTGAGAAACTAAGGTCTTTCTACACATGTCTTCTTATGTCACTGTGTGTCACTCGGATTTCTCAATGAAGCAAAGAAGTGACGTATTTTATTTTCCTCTTTACAGGGTATGAAATGCAGGGGGCCAAACTTGGGGTGAGTAAACATTTGGAAAAAGATGTCCCACAGTTTATATTTTTATGAAACATTAGTTGTTGCTTTGAAGTATTTTTGGTGCACTTACTGCAGATAATGTCAAGACCTGATAGTTTTTAAATGTCATGCGTCACCCTAAAATGAAAATGTGAAACCAATTATTTATATTTTCCATTTTGTCACTTACTGCCTTTTAAAAACAATCCCATGATTTGTTAGTTTATATGTAAATAAATGATTGTTTTGTAAGAACAAAAGCCACATTTATGTTTGTAATTACACCTGTACGTTATAATTATTTTCCTCCTTTCTGTGCCATGTTGCAGCTGGTGAACCAGGGTACTGTGGCGTACGCTGGTGGAGGTTTGATAAGAGATGTCAAGAACAAGGCAGTGCTCTGTAAGCCGCTCACACTGACGAAGGCGACATACTGCAAGCCACACATGCAGAGCAAACTCTTACAGACAGGTAAACACAGCATTTATCTTAATACCATGAAATTACAAACATATTTAGACACTTTTTGATTTATTTTTGAGATTAAAGGTTCTGTTTGTAACTTTATGTGTGAGCACAAGCAACAGGGTACTAACTGCAGTTCACTTAACAGCTAACATTGTCATAACAACAAGGCTTTTCTGAAAGTTACATACACACATAAGTCTTCACTTCAGTCCAACCTCACAATATATATATGGAGGTTTATGGAGGAGATTACTGCTGCTCACCCTTAAAAATCATGACTTGATGACCCATTAATACATATGCAGATTTGCATATAATGTTCTGTTTTGGCATACCTGTGTCCACAGATGTAGACGATGGCGTGAAGAGGGAGTATATTCCTGTACCCATACCTGTACCTGTCTTCATCCCCATTCCCATGAACATGTATTCCCAGGTCACTCCCACGCCAGTCTCTCTGCCTGTACCGGTAAGACATGATGAACTCATACAGCGTATTCATTCTAAAAGGGAAACTTGTCTTGTGAAGGTGTTAACATCAATAAAAGCCTGCATGATAAATGTTACTTAAAATGGTTCTTGTATGAACAGACATGTACGAGTCAAAGCTGTCTGTAACCAAAAAGCTTGTATATCCTGTCCCGTCCAGGTTCCTGTGCCTGTGTTCCTGCCCACCACCCTGCAGGGGGCGGAGCAGATTGTCCAGACCATCAACGAGCTGAAAAACAAGGTGCCCTCTGACCCCCTGGAGGCCGACCTGATCTCCATGGCTGAGATGATCGCAGAGGACCAGAAGCCAGGTACGCTCATCACAGGGTTGGATGTCTGCAGTAAAACATGAGAGATTAGAGATGTGGTGATAAAATGGTGGTAGGAATTGGTGAGATTATCTTGATACGCAGGTTGATTTTAGCGCTGCTCATCGTGGACTATATTGCTGTCATTGTTCATTTTAGTCAAACCATACAGTTTGAAAACGAGGCGCGGCATATTAAGGCAGTACAGGAGGAGGTGCACATTAATAATCCTCCAGGACTGTAACATGCTCATGTTTAACCCAAACAATGTGTCATGTGACTGCAGTTGGTTCAGATCCAGGTCGGAACACGTTCTCACCATAAACCAACCGCTCTGAGGGGGCAAACAAACTTGAGTTCTATTAAATCGACCCAAACCTGGACAGGTGGGCTCTGGGGTATTTTTTTTTCCAGCTTAATCAGCTTAATAAAATAATTACTATGTTGTCCAGTCTATTAGTTGTTATTTTTTTGCCAAATCTGGCCTCACACCCCTTTCCTGGAAAGTGAAAGGTTCCTTAAATCATATCTTTCCTACTTCATTATGTAGCCATCCAAATAACATTTGGTTTTATTGGCCGAGGTTCTGAGATATCTGTGACTGGGACTTCTGCCACCACCCTGATCCAAAGGAGGTTAATTAAATTCAGTATGTGTGTGAATATCAACAAACCATAAAACACTACAGTGATGTCTCTCTTAAAAAATGATGTTCTGGGTACAGACTTCTCAGTTTTAACACAGGGGTCAGTTTGATTTGAAGAAAGCTGCAGCGAGCGATGACGGAGAAGACCTGCTTGTCTGTGTGTTTCAGATGTGAAGCCAGTGATGGTGAAGAGTGAGCATGGAGGGAAGGAACCCTCTAGCAGCAGCTCTGAGGAAGAGGAGAAGATGGAGGAGGAGAGGATGGAGGAAGAGGTGAAGGTGAAGGAGGAGGACGAAGATGTGTACGAGCCCGACCTGGACCTGGAGGCAGACTTCCCTCAAGGTAATAACCGATATAAACATTCCTAGCATTAATTTGTAGTGCAAGCCTTTTCAGTCGTGAGGGGGACAGTTTTATTTTGGGCCAGTAAACCACTTTCACTTTATTTGGTCCCACCCAAGTTTGATGCCAAGTCAGTGCTCTTAAAGGTGCAGTGTGTAGGATTTAGGATGATGTATTGGCAGACGTGGAATATAAAATTCATAGTAATGTTTTCATTAGTCCATAATCACTTGAAACTAGAAATAGTTTTTTGTTTTTTCCCCTTACCCCCGGATAAGCCAATTATATCTTCTTAGGGAGCAGGTCCTGTCGCACCCAATAATGGAATAATTTCCAGAAAATGTAATAAGATTTTCACTTAACTTGATAGAAAATGTAATAAAACTGAACAAAGTAAAAATCTGAATAATATATATAAAATGTACTGACTGAAATTCTTATGATAACTCAATAATATAACACTTAATTACATTATTGGGAATTTATTATATGATCATATGGGTCCCCTTTAAAACTAGAAAATCCACGATTGGATCCTCCTCCAAAAGTTTCTGCTTTAAATTTACTTAAATATTAATGTCAACTTTTTCTGAATATCGATTTAAAGCCCATTTTGAATGCAGAAATTTCATAAAATTAGGCGAGCCAAAGGAGACACTTGATTTAATAAGAATCAGTGTTGAGTCAGGTAAAAAAAAAAGAATCTCTTATGAATATTTAATCGACAGTTTTGCCTTTTAGCGCTCACTTGTGTAACATTAGCACCTTCTAATCTAAAATCCACTCTAATCTAATCAGCAATCTTTGCACAGTGATGGATCAGTTTGGGTATGGGCGGGTTGATTTACCATTGATTTGGATTTTATTTCAACCTCCTGCAACCTTGTGTCCTCATTTGTTGACACTGCATTTTGGCTACACGTTAAAATTTATTCTTCTTAACTTTGACGTGTTGTCTTCGTATATGGACACGTTTTTATGTCATCTACTGCTAGCAAAGGCACAATAAACTAATCAGTGTTAAAAGAAGATGGCGGCCATCTCTACTAAGTTATTCTTCAGCCCATTTCGACACTAAAGTGGACTTTTTCAAATTTTATGGTTGAAACTTTTTTAAATTTATAGGGGAACACCACCTAAATTAAGAATTCCAATATGTTATTTCCATAGCCTAGAAATGTATCATCAATATTTTTTAACGTGAGCTACTGTCTCGCTCAAAGATGGTCAGTCTCAAACTTCTGATGTCATTGGGTATAAAGTCTGGAGCTGCTCCATAGACAACGACCCTGATTGTGTGGATTCAATTCATTTTTTTACTCAAATGTTCTTTATTCTATTGTGTGTTCTCACTTCTTAAACAGGAAACATGCCCTTATACTCAGAACACTCCCCTGGGTGCTCTTATCTTTCCCAACTCATTGTCCATGAAGTAGCTCCAAACTTTATACTTGATGACATCACAAATTTGAGTTTTAGCACTCTAGTTTTTGAATTTGGGAGAGTTGTTCATGTTTACTTCTATTTTACTTCTATTTTTGGACTGGGCTAGACCATAGAAATACCATGTATGAATTTTTAAAATGGCTGTAGTTCTCCTTTAAGCATAATAACATTTGTACTTAAATATGGCATCCAAATTTGACAAATTTTTAGCAATGGTGACAAGCTAGGAAGCTGCTATTTACGAAGTACTCATTCAAGGACATTAGGACTTTATTATAGTTTGGGCAAAATGAAGGTGTTAAAGTTAGGAAACATAGCTTGTGAAGATTTAGAATGAAAGCAATAGCTTACAAGATTATTGATAACTGTTCAGTGTTTCCCCTAAAGTATTTAGCAGCGGCGCTGTGCCGCCATTCTGACAAACTGTGGCTCACACTGAACATTGACTTTTACATTCATGGTTTACTGCTAACCTGACGTCCTCACCTGGACACACACCACACTGAAGGCTTCTTTAGAGGCTGCGATACACTCCACTGCTCTCCGTCAGTGTTTACATTTAGCTTTGTTTTGTCCTGTATGTGCCCACACGACCAACATGGCATCTTTATGTGTACCGGCTCTTTTTCATTGGCATTTCTCCAGGATTTGAGTCGTTTTGTGTCTGCGACTGGAAACACAGGGCTGATCAGGGGAAACCAATTGTAACAATTTCTCAAAAACCTCTTGAATTGTCCAGATACCATTTTTATGTGGGTAACTTGTATCTGTGTTCTGCTTTCTGCTTGTAACCAGTCATCAGTTGTTTTTACAAGCAATGCCAGAGTCACTATACTGGTTAAAACACAAGATGGCAAATGTCACATCTGCTCCCACATGTTGGAGCGACTGTAACAGCACATGGGGTATGGGAAGCATTTTAAAAAACGTAATGCGACATCCACACCTGTGTACATACGTGTCTAAAGACCCTCTCATGCCAGCGGACGCGCTAAACATCTTCTGGCTGCGGAAAAAAAATCTTGTGCACTTCAGCACCGCTGCTGGAAAACTCCTAGGGGAAACACTGGTTCTTGCTTGTTGCACAAATAAATCTACAATGATTTTTATTTTTTATCCCCATGTGATACATTTGCAGGACATAATTCTCTGTCAAGAGCAGAAATATTGCTGAATGCAATGGTAGGAGACAACTCAGACGTGGAGGACTTGTCTGATTGTGATGATCCTGGTGTGGAACAACTAAGCTACGAAGATTGTATGCCACCTTATTCACCAGAATCTGATCAGCAGAGCAGTGACGATAGTGACTGTGAGCCACAAGTCCGTCCGTCTGAACATGTGCAGAGATCCAGAGGACCTGCGTGTATAAGTGTTGACATTGATAACGAGCCAGGACCTAGTGAAGATGGACATGGAGAGCGCTGGCAGTCTGGTGCTTTTACTCCGAACTTAGTTAAGTTTGAGTTTTATGATGAAAGGCTATATGAGCGACATGACTGGCAGCCTCTGGACTATGTGGAGCAGTACATCGACACAGACTTGATGAAACACATTGCTATCTGTACAAATGCTATGTCACTGTCTACCAGTGGTGGCTACCTCAACACCTCAGTTGATGAGATATATCATTTTTTTGGAGCAACCATTTTGATGTCATGCGTGCCTTACCCACAGATGAGGATGTTCTGGTCCAATGCCTTACGAATCCCTGCCATTAGCGACAAAATGAGGCGCGACAGATTTTTCAAACTGAGGCAACATCTAAAAGTCGTCATTGATGATGAAATATCAGAAGACATGAGACAAACTGACAGATTTTGGAGGACAAGGCCTTTTATGGATCGCATTCTCAGAGGCTGCTTGCTTCAGGCTCGACCAGAATGTGTGTCCGTCCATGAGCAGATGATCCCGTTTACAGGAGCCTGTCCATTTCGACAGTATGTACCACAAAAGCCCAATTCAGTTGGCATGAAGAACTTTGTGCTGGCTTCGTCCGATGGCATTGTGCTGGACTTTGAAGTCTTTCAAGGTGCAGACGCACTAAGTTCACAGGTTCAGGAAGCGGGGGGTCTGGGTTTGGGAGCCCTGGTTATTGAACATTTGGCTAAAACTCTGCGTCCTGGTACAAAGGTATACTGCGATCGCTTCTTCACAAACATGAGAGTAGTGGATCAAATGCTGGAGAGGCATGTGTACCTGACAGGTACGGTAAAGAAAAACCGGATCACCAAAGCGCTGCAGAAGCTACCGAGTGACCAAACCATGAAACAGCAAGGAACAGGAACCTCAGCGTCAGTTACCAGGGAAGATGGGAGAGTATGTGTAGTGAAGTGGTTTGACAACAAGCCGATGTTGATGCTCTCTGCTGTTCATGGTGAACAGCCAGGAGACACCCGGCAGCAATGGTCCAAGAAGGACAAACGACACGTGACTGTCACACGACCAAGTATTGTGTGCGAGTACAACTCCAAGATGGCTGGGGTTAACTTGGTAGACAGGATGATGAATTACTACCAAATGAGCGTCCGAACCAAGAAGTGGACGATTCGGATGCTGATGCACTTCACTGATCTCGCTTTAGCCAACAGCTGGCTCTTGTATCGGCGAGACAACACTGAACGTGGCACGCCAAGAGAGGGAATAATGCAGTTCCTTGAGTTTCGCATGGCAGTGGCTCAGGCATACCTGACCAAGTGTAACTCTGATGTCCAACATGTATTCGAAGAGAACGTACACCTTTTCCAACAACAAGGCAAAAGACATCAGGTCGCTCCAGTACCTCACGTCTCAGTTCGCACAACCTCTGCTGCACATCTCCCAGAGGTGGTCAACATGAAGAACTCGATGCGCTGCAGAGAGAAAGGCTGCTCTGGGAAGTCTCGTGTGCGGTGTGTGACATGTAATGTGTTTCTGTGCTTGCAACATGAACGCAACTGTTTTGCAGCGTTTCACACAAGCCAGTATGTGTGATACAGAAAGGACATTCCCAGTCTGGAGTATGGAGCAAGGAAAATTCACACAGAGATTCACAACGAAAAAATCACAAGGCTTTATGTTGCATTGTTTGCAATTTTGTTTTGCACAGCCACGTTCAGGCATCGAAACGAACAGTTCTGAACAGTTTTGTATCTGAATAGTGACAATGGACAACAGTGAAGATGAACAGTTTAATACTTTGTAACACACTGGTGACTCTAACATGTAATGTGTTCCTGTGATTGCAAACTCAACACAACTGTTATGCAGTATTTCACACTGGCCGATAGTTGTGACAGACTCTTGCTGCAAACAAAAAGGACATTCCTAGCTTGGAGTATCAAGTGGAGCCACAGGATTTGCCCCAAAAAATGATGTTAAATTATTTTTTAAAAATCATGAAAATCAGATATCGCAATATGATTGGCGTTTCTGTGGGAATGGTAATTTTTGCATTTTATTTTCACAGAAAAAAGTATATAAAAATGATGATGATGTGATTTTTGTTAGGGTCTGTACCAAACAAACATGTTCCTTTATGCCTGGATTATGATTTGTAGGCCAGAGCATCTCTGTAGCACCACAATGCGTAATTTATAATGGTAGCTTCTGTTAGATATTGCTAGGGCTGCCCCTTGAAGTCAGAGAGATTGCCTCTGCAGACGTTTTGGTCCCCAGTTTTTGCTGCGGAGTGAGCACTCCTGACTTTCACACTACTCTCTGCAGACAGCCGCGGACATGATGCAGTGGCATGGAGGACGAAAAGCTCTGAGACATTATGTTCTCTCTTTTGCTTAGAAATGGTGAATTTAAAGCTTACCGTAACTAATGATACAGTCTTTGGCTTTTATTTGAATTTTAGTGTCGGCAAAAAATGTTGCACATTTCCGATCTGTCATTAGTGCAGTTAGCTTGTTTACTAAATTACAGAAACGCTGCTGTCAAACTGAAGGTCCCACTGAGCCTGTTCAAATTTTAAAACTCCACATGGGGAGAAATGAATTGTGAAGTATTTGTATTGAACAGCCAAATCTGATTCAACTGACATAACTCTGAGTCGGGTGAAGCCGGAGATATTGCACTTGTCTGTGTTGCAATTTTGATAATATTTGATAAACTGTGCAGCCCTAGTGTGGAGTGAGGAAAATAACCATACAGAGACAAAACAAATAAATCACAAGGCCTTATGTTGCACTTTGTAATTTTGTTTTTGCACAGCTATACTCAGTCAATAACATGAACAGTTTTGAATGGTTTTACTCTTGAACAGTTTTATACTGGTGACTTTGACATGTAATGTGTTCCCATGCTTGCAAACTGAACGCAACAGTTTTGCACCATTTCACATAGACCCATAGGTGTGACAGGCTGCTCCTAGTTTGGAGTATGGAGCAAGAAAAATTTGCAGCATTATTTGCAATTTTGGTTTTGCACAGCAGTGGTTAGGCATTGAAATAAACAGTCTTAGTCTTAATACTACACAGGTGAATATATTGTGTTATACAGTGAAATAAACCCAACGTCCACATATGAGGACGACTTTTGTTTTTCATAAACTACTTCCTTTACAAAGACAATGCTTAGTTTGTTATACTTATCAGGTTCTACTCATCCCAGATAGTCAGGAGAAATTACAAATGCATACCATTCACATTCTGGAGTCTCTAATGCATTTTTACCATCTGTTGTTGATTTCATGTTCTACATAAAGCCTGGTGACACATTTACAAACGTGAAATCAGTCTCATATGTTCATGTTTTCAGAAAGCTATCATGACACTAAGAATTACAAATGTTGTATACTTGCACACTTCACATCAGTGATACTCAACTTATGGCCTGTGGGACAGATTTTACCTGCAACAGCGTGCTGGGTGACCCTTGGACCATTTTTTTCCATTCACAATGAAAATAAGTTGATTAACAATTTTTGGGGGTGCTGCGATTGGATTTGCCTAATTTATTCATCACATTTGACCATTATTAGAAATATGAATTTATTGACTAGCACCTGGCCTCGCATCTTTTTGCAAAATGGCCCCTGGGAAAAGCAAGTTGAGTATCCCTGCTGCACATTCAAGACAAAAAAAAACATACTTTTTCACATTGTTACATCATCAGTTTTGAGAAGAATGACCCTCCTGAAAGGTGTCACATTAAAGGATAAATGATGTTGCAATATCAGTTAAGGCATTTTGTTTCAGGACTTTTTAAATCATGTTAATTTAAAATTTTAGGAGGGGTGAATGAAGGGGTTTTCAGTTGGTTGCAGTGTGCAGCCTCACCACTAGATGTCACTAAATCCTACACACTGCACCTTTAATTCCAGGCAGTTTGTCTCTCAGTCTGTGTTTATGTTTCCTTTTATTCATTCATTCATTGTGTTGCGTAAGGCAGCTCTTATGTAACAACATGTGACCCCCCCTGAGGTGTTAATGGATCAGTACAGTAATTGAGATTAAAATTCCTCCCTCTGGATATTTCTGGACCTGCTGTCACTTCTACTGTCAGGGCAGAGGGTTGAAGGTTGTTGTACTGAGTCCTTAACCAGGCCAGGACTAAGACATGCTTTTATTTTTATCTTTATTTACTCTCACTGACCTGGTATAAAACGCTTCAGCTGAGCCACACTCATACATACTTAAACTGTAGGTTGACTCATGATATTATGGCCTTTCTTGGAAGCAGAGCCAAAATGTGGTGGTGGTCCTCATCTCAAACTAAGAAAGCCACATTTTAAAATCTCTCACTGTGCTTTCAGTGCTTTTGTTTTTATCTTGTGTCTGTGGTTTGAATTTTTGTTCCATGTTTGCCCTGCTGTATGTAGCAGAAATAATGCAGGGTCGAAAAATGATAAGGTTATATATAAAGAGTGTAACTGAATACCTTAAATGTGTTTGGTAAATGTCTGTGTTGTGTGTTTAATAAACTGGATTAATACCATCAGAAAGAGCAGTCTTTACATTATGAATTCATACAGTAACACTTGAATTTCAAACCCCTATTTAGCATCTCTGAACAATATAACACATGTAATGAATGGTGTATAACACTAAAGTGTATGTAAGCAGATACAAGGATCCTCCTATTGCAAATGTCCAGATTTCTAGGCCATGTTTAGGTGTAATCGTTTCTTCACTAGTGCTTTTGCAGCACGACAGAGACGTCGGATAATAAAAGTATCGCTGTGGCAGCTGAACAGTAGGATTAACCTGCAGCCAAATAAATCTACAAGCTCATGTTTTAGAGATACATCTGGTTCCCCTCCCGTTCACACAGATTTCCAGCCAGCCTCAGATGAATCAAGCCAATCACAAACATTTATGTTAAATGGGTTTGTGTGTTTCAGACGATGACTAACCTATGAGGAGCTTTTGAGTTTAATATAAAAACACTGATGTCAATTTTTGGGTTCAAAAACATCCATGACGGCTGCAGCTGATGTGGAACTTTCTCTTGAAGTATTATCTTTAAATTATGATGGCGAAAAACAGCAACACTCATCCACAGACACCATCACAGCTCATCTCTGCACGTATGATTATATTTGTCCATAGCTCATGTCATGGTTCGTCGCTCTGATTGGTTGTACGGAGATCCAAGGGAAGAGTGGGTAGCAGCACAACTCCACCTCAACTCCACCTAATGCAGGCTGACAGCACCCCAGATTCATACGTCCAAAAACACATAATTGAATCCACAAAATATCTCCATACTGCTCGTCCGTAGTGATCCAAGTCTCCTGAAGGTGTTTTGAAAAATGTCATCTGAACTCTGTTTTTAGCCTCATTGTAGCCTGTAGCTCTAACTGTTTCTGTGTACACCGAGCTCACGTGTGCGCACTTGCGTGCAAGACCAGCAAAAGCATGTGAACACACATGAAGGCGGTGCCCATGTCTCACGGTCTCACGCAAGCGCACACGTGAGCGCGGTGCACAGAGAGGCAGTTAGAGCTGCAAGCTACAATGAGGCTAAAAACAGAGTTCAACAAAACAACTTTTTATGTCGGGGCTTCAGGACACTTGGATCACTACGGACGAGCAGTATGGAGATATTTTGTGGTTTCAATTATGTGTTTTTTGGATGTTTGAATCTGGGGCGCCGTCAGCCTGCATTAAGTGGAGTTGTGCCACTACCCACTCTCCCCTGGGATCTCCACAAGGGATGTGAGGACTCTAAAACTTCACCTGAGCCTCCCTCGGCATATGGGTGAGTAGATAATGGCTGAATTTTCATTTTTGGGTGCACTATCCCTTGAAGAAGTCTGCGCAAACCTGGAACTTTTCTACAAATTTGACCAATCATTGTAATTTCCTGTGAGTTTCACCTATCATTTCAGATGATGATTCTGGTTGAAAAGATGCAGACGTGCAATGTAAGTGTCTCACATTCACCAATTACTGCTAAAAATTCAAGGTAGTTCCCTGATATTCTGCATTAAAGCAACGTTGTGGTTGAGTACAAGTAAAAGTCATCAATTGACAAACACTCTTCTACCACAAAACACACCCAAAGAATGAAACAACAGACAAGACAAATCACCATGACAGAGGCTGTTGCATGTGCTGAAATAATTAAGGTGAGTTAGATTAAATATGGACGATTGGTGGTAACATTAGTGTAGTATAAGACACAAACTCAACAGTGCTGTTTTTTCTTCTCACTGGAACAAGTTGCCTTCGATTCCTAACGAATTATCCCCCCAAAAAAGCAACATTTTTTGCAAGTTTCATTTACTCCTGCAGTTTCATCGCTAAAAAAGGTCTAAAAGCTTTGAATATGCGTCGCAATGTTTTTAAAATCTGCTGTGAAATCTGGAATTTTAGGCCACAACAATCCCAAAAAACGGCAAAATCCTTGAGGGACTGTCTAGAACTGTAAATAAGCTGGTTTCTAAACATTCCTGTTGTGTTTGTTTTCTTATCTGTCTGCTTATTGCACTGTAGAACAAAAGACGACAGACTCAGCCTCTTGTGCAATTTGAAGAAACTAAAGCTGCCAAAATAAAGTTAGGGGGTAGGGAAGAAATCAGATCATCGTGGTCTGTCCCAAACTGAGTCTGTTGAGTGCATTTTAATGTTCCAACTGTGTCACCTGAAGCTCTGAACTCCTAAATGCGGAGACACTGAATATCAGTAACAAGAAATCATTGACGTAAACCCCTTAATCTGCAGGAGAGTCACTTTTTTCCATCCTGAGCTGGATTTACACTTTCATTTTTATCAATTAAGCTCATAATTAAACAGTTGTTGTTTCCTGTCCAGCCTCAGACCCTGCTCCAGTCCTCGAAGGGATGGACGAGGACATGGGCTTCTCTCTACCTCCGGTCCTGGCTGAGGAGAAGGAGGAGCTGGAGGAGTCAGCGCCTCGACCGCAGCCCAGGAGACAAGTACGCAACATGTAACAGTTAGAAAAATTGTACCAACCATCATAAGTTGACTGTGTGGTAACTGTGTGTGTTTGTGTTGCAGGGGAACAAGAGGCAGGCGGTGGAGGAGAGCTCAGATCTGGTCTCGTCTTCGTCTTCCAATCCAGCTGGCAGACGCTCAGAAGGACGGTCGCTGCCTCTCAAAGCTCGATATGGTATCAATGCTTGGAAACGCTGGGCGCTGTCTGCTTCTGACCAATCAGATGACACCAAAGAAAAAGGCGACTCCAAACCAGGTGAGATAAACTGGATCGTAAACTTACTGACCTGGCACAGCAGTAGTTGATTAGGACCAAACTCCTTGAGTCTCAGTTTGCTCCTCTATTCAAGGGTCATGAAAAAGATGCAGAGTTTAAGTTGTTCTTGTCTGAAATATCAGAACTCTTTAGGATCAGAGTTGCAGTCACCACCTCATCCTCAACCTTCGCTAACAGCAGTCGGTGTCTCTTCCTCTTCTCTCCGCAGCCCGCTCTAAAAGTAACCTGTTGTCGCTGAGTTCAAAGGAGCTGAACGCAGCTCTGTCCCGGTTTGTCAGGGAGGTCTGCCGGCCCAGCGGGGAGCGCTACTCTCCAGACAGCATCCTCTACCTCTGTCTGGGGATCCAGCAGGTTGGTGCCATTTTTTAAGTTGTGTCTTGAAATGAAAACAGGAGGGTGAATGCAAATTATTTTCACGTCAATAACCATGTTAGTCTACCTTAGTCTGAGGCCACGTCTACAAGTATACAGATAATTATGTAAACTGATATGAGCCAGAAACATCAACAACAATGGCAGACTGCCTGTTTGCTCATGTTTGTTAGCACTGCTTGGTCTGATGATTACTTTACGCTTAAACTTAGTGTCGCTGCACCATGTTACGAACGCATCTGCGGTGCCCAGTTACGTTCGGTCCACTCAGCGTTCACAGTATAAGATCTGACAGAAACAGGATCAGGCCGGCAGATGGTGTGACACTTTTTTTCCATGAGGAGTGGAAGGAAAGCTTTTGCGTGTCCTCAGCTTCACTCGTGTCTTTGAGAGAGGTCCTCCATCCTTCAAAGGGGAATCAAAATTATATGCTTCTTCTGTAACTCTAAAGTCTGATTTATGGTCCTGCGTTGAATCAACGACGTCGCTACGTCGTAGGGTACGGGGCTACACAGAAGGCTCGCCTTAGCCCCCGGCGTAGTCTGACGTGCACCTCCCCAAAAATGTAACTACACTTCGAGGCGATGCAGACCCAGCGCAGACTGTTTGGGTTGTGATTGGTTTGCTTGGTAGCAACGCATTTCTGGTTCCGTATTTCCAGATTGCGCCATCCCCGCCATCTTTAAACATCTTCTGTTGTGATGTAGATGTTGCAGTATTAAGGCTCATTATATATATGCCATTTTGCTCAACATTCAATACGGATACGGATACGGCCGGAGCCGTCTGTCCGTGCTCCGCGTTCATTTCTCCGTGACCGGAAAAGCCGGAAGCTAAACAAAGAATCAACTAGAAACGACGATAACCACTCAGGAAAGGAACGCAGCCTCCTACCGCTCTGGCGGTGAATTGCACCGCGACGAAACGGAGTGACGGAGAAGTTCGAAGGGTTCACGACGTCGTCACGGCAACAACGTAGCAACGTCGTTGAGTCAACGCAGGACCATAAATCAGGCTTCTATCAACCATTCTATAAATCAACTACTGGAATTGTGAAATTAAATTGATCATTTCTTATTTTCTTTGGTAGTTTTTGTCATATACAGATATGCATTGATGATTGCTGGGTAATATGTATGTTGATGTTACCCAATGTTAAGTCTCTGATCATCTGACGAGACGATCAAAGACACTAGAAAAGCAACAGCACATAAAGAAAGCACAGCAGAAACATCAGAATCACAACAGAAATAAACAAGTTTGCCATTTTCACGTATCTCCAGAAGTGACTGTTGTTGCTGCGACGTCACAGTGATTCGGTCTCTTAAATAACAAAAGAATGAGGCGTCCTGCTGGACAAAGGGGTTAAAGACACTGACCATGTGATCACACCTTTGTTGCATTTCCCTCCTTTTGTTTCTCCTCTCATTTCCTGCTGCCTCACTACTGTTGGTTTAAAGTAAAGTCAAATATGCCATAAAAAACTTTTAAAAACAGTCATGAAAAAAGTAGTGCTAATTTGATGACGTTTTCCCCACTACCACCATAAATATCATTGTTTATAAAATACAACAAAATATTTTAAATTAAAATAGCTATTAATATTAGATTATATTAAAACAATATATATGTGTTATGAAGTAAATAAATGAGAATAAGCATCCATTTTGTTTGCACTTCTATCTGGAGTCATTTTAGAGGTAGGAACTAAAGTCAGAGGGAGTGTTTCCTGGAGGACAGATATAAGTGGTGCACAGTCTTCCCTCCTGTTCTCACATGTCGGCACAGCATGGCTGCAGAGAGGAGCTCAGGATCATTCAGAGTCGTCTGGAGGGAGATTTTTCTGACAGGAAAATGTAAGATTGTTTTGTCTGTTTGAGAAAACAAAGTTTTAAAGATTTAATTGTTTTATGTGAAGTTTAATCAGGAAATTATGAGTTTGAAACACTCAAAACTGACTTGTACTTTTTCTGGGCCTGCTTAAATGTGTTGCTCTTTTTCTATCTCTTTCAAAAATGTCCTTTCACTGAGCTCATCTGTGGGTTTTTGCAGAGCAGACGACTTCTGACGTTCAGATTAATTGAACAGAACGCCAGTGAATAACTTTTTTGTTCCAGACTTGTGTCCACTGATTAAAACTCTTTGCTGTTCACATTCTGAAAAACAGTGATGATCATTTTTAAATATGAGGACACTCGTGTTTTCATCTCCACAGACTGCAGCTTGTATTTGTTTGACTGTTTTTTTAAATGTGAGTTTTTTTCATGTGTTTGAAGCATCTCCACGCCAAAGGCCGGAAGGATGACCTTTTCAGCGACCCGTGCTACCAGCAGTTTGGAGAGGAGCTCAACAAGGTCCTGAAGGACTGGCAGCCCAGCGTGCTTCCTGATGGTGAGTCTGATGGGACCATCTGCTCGGCACCAAATGACTGTTCAAGGGAAATATGGTCAGATTTATTACTGGAGAAGTGAAGAACTGCATTTTAAATCACCAAATAATCAGTTAGTAATATCTGAAACCCGCAATACATGCATATATAGCAGCTAAATAAAATTCAGGTCAAATTAGATCAACTTAAACAGTAGCTTTCATAGCTGCTGGAGGAAGTTAAATACAGTGAGTGTATGGCTCGTTAGCACCACCTGGTGGTGTAGAGCTGTTAATCTCCAGTGTCGGTGTCCAGTGATTATAACTCTTCTGCTGTTCACATCCTGATTTGTTGTGATTGCACTTTAATGTTATATGAGGACACTTGTGTACACAACAAATAGGAATTAAATGCATTTGTGAGATGTAAATAATTCATGTTACGCTGCAAAATAAAATAGAAAATTAATTTACATTTATGTACCGGTACTCAGTTTATTTTTAATAACAGATATCCAAAGTTCCAGTGAGTATTTAGGTTTTTTCGGTCCAAAAATGTGTTTGACTGGAAAGATCCCAGATATGACTGTGTCCACATTTTTCTCCTTCCATCTTGTGCTTGTTTCTATTTATGTCAGTGGCCTAGATAACATGGTGTGCTGCTCCAGACCACTAAAAGCTTCTCATTTATTTATTTTATTTTTATTTTGTTTCTATTTTAATTTTTTTTCTTATACTGTGATTATTTAATGTAGTTTGTTTATTTCCACCTATTTATTTATTTTCTTATTATTTTTGTTTATTTTTTAACTGATTATTTTACATATTTTTTTCATTTATGCAAATTTATGTATTTAATTTTTTATTTAGCTTTTTTCTTTAAATGATTATTTTACATAATTTGTTTATGCTCATTTATTTTTTGTTTATTCTTTATATTTTTCTTTAACTGATTCTTTTACATCTTTGTATATTAACCCTTATTAATTTATTTTGTTTTTTATTTTGTTTATTTTTTTCTGTAACTATAATTATTTCGAATTCCTATATTTATGCGTATTTATTATTATTATTTACTATTTTTTAATTACTTTTTTATTTTTTTTACATTATGCTTATTTATATATTTTCCTTGCATAGATTAAATTGAAAACCCTCTGAAGTCATCATGGGTAGGGGGGAGGGAGGAAATGTGAGATTTTTTAAGACACTAAAGACAATAATTTAAAATAGATATGTCAGTCTGCAGAAAGATGTCCTGACCAAATAAAAATAACGTTTTAGGCATTATAATCAGAACTACACCCTCCACTTAATCTCCATGTTGGATACTGAACATTGACCTTCATGTCCTGCAGGCTCGCTGTGGGGTCGAGTGGAGGAGCAGAGTCTGTGGAGCAGCCGGCAGCTCGGGCAGCAGAGTCCGGCGGCTCTGCTGCGCTCTCTGGTTTACCTAAACACCAAATACTTCGGCCTGCGCACCGTGGAGCAGCACCTCCGCCTGTCCTTCGCCAACGTCTACGGCCCAGACACCATCCATCCTGTCACCAAGGAGACCACCGTCTGCATCCGCGTGCCTTCCATCTCTCAGGATCACCACGGTGAGTTCAGGAACATGTGCATGTTGGGACAGTTTTTGATGCATAGCCCAATCGTCATTGTTTCATTTCAGATGTGATATGTTGGAGTTGAGAGACATAACAATGAAAAACCAACCCTTTTCTTTTTATCAGAACTTAAATCCAGTGAACTGACATTTTCTCCTCTTATCTGCAGCCTTTAGCTCACAATCTCAGACACATAATCCTGAAAATGTTTTATTATCTTTTGTAACTTCAGTGCAAACAGAGTCGAGGAAGAGGAAGCGTACGTTGGAGGACGGCGATCAGGACTATGAACCAGACGACGACTCGGGAGGCTCCACTGTACGCTGCCCGGTCAAGAAGCACGAGTGTCACCTCTACGACCTCTACAGATCCAAGTGGTGAGTTTAGTTACTTTACAGATCTTATCCAGAGGAGAAAACTGTGCAGAAGTTGGAAAAGAAAAGAACCCCCTTTCGAGATACTCGGATACACACAATGTTACCATCATTAACCTCATGCTCGAGGCATTTCCAGGAGGCGTCTATCGTTTTACCAACCCACTTTAAGCTCCCCCAGGAAATTTTGCTGATCCGGGGGGCAGTTAAAGGGCGGTCCAGCCACTGAAGGTCCGTCTCCATGAAATATGAAGCTACAGTAGCTTTGAAAATATCAATATCCTCCTGAGACCTTGGTTTGCTGCACCTTATACTTCATTCTGATTAATTTACATCTGTCCTCGTTCATGGACACATTTTTCTGCCATCTAGTGGCAACAAAAGCACAACACACTAATCCACATGAAAACAAAATGGCAGCCATCTCTGCCTAAAGTCAGTCTGCAGCCGATCCCAACACTAAAGTGGACAAGATACAAAACCTGATCACATTATATGGAGTCAAGCTTCACTTCTTGCACTGCATAAACCTTAAATCTTTCATCAGTTTGTATCTATAGAAAGTTAAAGGAACGCTTTTGCTCCATTTTGCATCCCTAATCCATTGAACCAGTTGGATGTCTGTTTCTGAGTCCTGTGATTATAACTCTTTGCTGTTCACATCCTGAACCACAGTGTTGACTATTGAAAGATGAGGACTTAAAACTTTCGCAATTGTTGAACAAGAAATCCAGAACGAGAGATTAACACATCTTTCTCTTTCTCTCCCACCTCCCCTCTTGCTCTCCTCCTTCTTTCCTCTTATCTCTTTTCCTTCTCTTCAATATGTTTTTCACCTCTCTGTGCTGTCACCTTATTTCCCTCTCTTCTCTCACATTTTCTCCTCCTCCCTTCTTACTTAACTTCTTTCCCTTTTTTTTTTTTCTTTACCTTCCCTGCTCCTCTCCTCCCTCCAGCCCGGCATTGTTGCGGGAGCGTCTAGACGTCTTCTACGTTCAGCCGGATCTGGCCCGCAGCCCCGACGACCCGCTGTGGTTCAGCTCCACGCCACTGGAGCGACAGATCCTGGAGAGCCTCCTCACCAGAGTCCTCCTGGTCAGGGACGTTTACACAGACAAACAACACCTAGAGGAAGACGAGGAGGAGGAGGAGGAGGAGGAGGAGGAGGAGGATGGGGGTGAAGTAGTCGGGGGAGAGTAGCAGTTGTTTTGACTTTTTTTTTTTTTTTTGTAGTAGAGCCTGAACAGTCAGCAGAGGAGGAGGAAGAGGAGGATAGAGCTAGTAGTGTGTGTGCTCCTCTCCTGTCTTACCCTCCTCGCTGACTTCCTGTTTCCTCCTGGTGAGGAGCGTCCACAACTGGGAACTCATAGAGGATGATGGATGTGGAGGTGAAGAGCAGCCCAAACGTTTACTTCTGCAGATAGATTCACAAACAGAGGAGGAGGAGGTGGTGATGAAGCTAGAGGACGGATAGGTTCATTGTCCCCTCAGTCATAAACCACAGGAGGAGGCACAGATGAGAAACGAGGCAAAGCTGTAATTAAAGTCGAACTAAGCAAAATTCTGTAGAAGTGTATTGACAGTTATCACCATATTTTGATACAGGAAGTGCGTAGCGTGCTTATAGTGCTCAGACAGGCAGCTTAACTTTATAGTATCATGCTTTAACAAACCAGGAGGCTACAAGGAGATGAAGTTATTTTCTTCTGTCTAAACTTCATGTCCTCCTTGTCATCGCTCTGTGGATGGAAAAGAGGAAGTGGAGTGCTTTGGGCTTCAAGAGAGTTTTCAATAACGGATTGATAAGTGAAGGCGAAGGCAGATAAAAAGGTCTGAGTGAAACCAGAACAACAAGAGGAGAGTAGGATGAGTCTAGAGTGTCAACAGAGGTGGAGGCTGGAAGATCGAAATTCCATCTTTGATGCGGTTCAGCTTGTAAAATCGAAACATGACAGATAAAAAATGTTTGCGTCAATATTTACAGCTCAGTTTAGCTGATGGTCATGCAACAGGAAGTGCTGCTTTGTATTTGAAAGGATTATTAGACATGAAATATTATACAGCCGAAAAATATTGTTGCACTGACTGACAGGTGGAAAGATCCAGGTTTGACCCATCAGTGATGTAACAAAGGACTTTTGTCCACTTCACTTGTAGGATTTTAAATTTTCGACCGCTGGACGAACGCAGCAGTGTAATATTCTGTGTTTTGACAAATATTTTGTTCGGTACATTTAGGATTTAAAGCTCCTGCACACCCACACAACTGTCACTTTGTCATACTTTGGCTCAGGTTAACATTCAGCGGTGTTGAGCTGCCGTCAGACTGGATGTTGGCTGGTGGAGTTCATTCATGAGGTGAGGACAGGAAATCGTATGAGTGAGGCTGTTTCAATGCCAGGCCAGTTTTTGGTGGATTCACAGGTCAAAGTTAGTTATTATTTCATATATTTGTTTCATCACGACCAGACTACAAACTGCAGTGTTGCCCTCAAACATGATTTATTGTATGATTGCTCTAATCAATATTAATCAGAAACATGACATCACTGCCTTTTCAGGGCTGAGTAGGACAGGAATGTTATGTGACCTTATATTTTATGCAGGGATTATTATGAGGTCACCAAACTCCTAAAACAACTGTGCTTAATGCTGTTATCTCACGATTACAAGGCTTGTTTTCTTGTATTAGTGGGTTGATTTCTGTAGATTCTTGAGAAAACAGAGTGCTGATTTCCAGAGATTATCACAAGAAATCAACTTGTTCTCTCCAGATCATGAGATAAGTATGGAGAACTTAAAACTGAACGTCTGGATCATTTCACACCTGATTTCATGCATGCTGGCATGGTGCTCCTGATCTCTGAAGTAATAACAGGAAACAACCTTTTTATCGTGATATCATTAACAAAATAATGAACTCTTGATCTTGATAACAGCATTAAAAAATGCAAGCAAGTCTGTTCTTGTCTTCTGTAAATGAGAACCAAAAAGCTGTAAATCATGCTGCTTTAAACAGGTGACACATTAGGTGCATTTCCATCCACCTGTTTTTATGCACATTTGAATTTAGACATGAATAAAACCTGTGTGGAAACTTTTTTAAAAAAAATCTCAAAGTATTGCAAATAGTTTTTACGCTTCGATCAATCAATACAAAGTAAATGAGATTATGTGCAATGGAAATGGAAGCAGCTAATAAATGTACAATCATGACGTTCCACCATTTTATAGGCTACAGTAAACTTTGTCGTCTGCACACAGGGCCGTTACTGCAACTCTTCCAAGACCACAGAGCGCTGTGTTCCCTTCGTCCAGTGTGCTCTCTGTTCTTAGACATGCACTGTTTTCCAGTGTTTGAATTCTGATCCAGACTCTTAATTACATCATCTCGTTGCGCCCTCTTCTTCTAATGGCACCTGACTGGAGCATTAGCACCACCTACTGCTTATTTCGACAAACTAACTCCCAGTATTTGCATAATTGATGGAAAAGCAGATACATTTTTCTTTTGAGTTTCTAAAAAATTTGGTTGAAATTTGCACCACGTCTGTTTGGAAACACGACTACAGGAGTCCAGTAAAGGGATCTAATCAGGTAAATCAGTGAAACCACCTGTGTGGGTGTGTAGGGCCTTTAACATTGCGAAATTAATCAGGCTTGAGTGTATCTTGATGATTGCCAGTACTGTATAAGTGATGCTATGTGGTGCTGACAGTGTGACAGTTTCATCAGCACAAGTTTTCCTATATCAGGTCTCTGTTGCATTTTCACTGCACAAAGATGGAATTTCTGATTATCCAGCCTGTCTTGAACTCAGCACAAAGCCTCTTCCTCTCAGTCAGGGCGACCTACTGGTTTCCAGTGTCACACATCTCCATTATAACTGGGCTGCTTTCATTCCTCGCCATCATCCCGCTCACTGCTCTTCCTCTGTCAGTACTGCTCTCAGGCGAAACCCATGTGCACCACAGAGGACTGGAGGAGTCAGGACTGATCCCAGGACAGACTTTACAAACCTCGTGTTATATCTCGTCACACACACACCTGACTCTCGCTGTGTGGTGCGGGTTAACGGCGACCTGCCGACATGCTGCGTTTCTTTATAGGACATTAGGGGAACCTTCATTCATGCGATGTAGCATTATGTGCGTACTAAGCCCAGATTGGGTTGCTTTGAAGTGTAAATATCTCTGAAACAAGGCGGTGGTTCGAGTCTCCACAGAGAGGGACACTGTGTCGTAAACACCCACTGAAACCTTCAGCTTGAAAAACACCTGCCTCCCGAGAAGCCTTTTTAGAAAGACTGATTATTTATTTATCTTTTTATTAGTTTGACTGTTTCCTCTTTACGTTGGGATAGGACTTTTATGGGTGCCATCTCCGTCTCCACCCTCATTCATTGAAAACCTGCTGCAGTCCCTCGCCTCTCTCTCGTCCATTTAAAAAGGGTCTTTGTGCAGGAACCTGCTAAACATGAAGGACACGGATTGCTCACAGCTCAAAAGACTGTCTTTGTTTCCTTTCTGCTTTTGTCCCTGTGTTTGGACTTTCCTGGCGTTACTCTAAGTCTCCTTTTAAACTTAATCTTGGTTTAGTTTAAAACCTGAGCGCTTGTTCACGAGTGCCCTCTCCTCCTTCTTCCAGGCTGTTTAAGAGTGCCAGCACCGCGAGACAGAAGCTTATATTGTAACAACACATTGGTTGGATTATCCATTGTTTATTTCTTTGATTTTTATTTTATTTTATTTATGTGGTTACAGTCCCCCTTTTTTACTTTTCATTTTTTGAGTTTTATTTGAATTTTCGTTCTGAATGTTTCAATAAATTGGAAAAAGTGTCATCAAATTTAAAATCAAGTGACGGTTATTTGAGGATTTTCTTTTTCTTTTTGTACTTATATTAACTTTGATTTAAATTGGGAGAATACTCTGAGATAAAATTTTACACCCAAACAAAATGTGTGTTTCCACAGCTTGTGCTTAGAATATAAGGAACACCCTCCTGGGGCCAGATGCATCAAACTCTGTAGATTCACGACTAGAAAAGCAGAAATGTGCTTACGCAATTGTTTCCTGAGATTTATAAAGTTGCGCGTATGCCTGGTAGTGATTTATAATTCTCTATTTTTGTGGAGCTGGGTGCATGGGCTTTATTTTCACACCACAATTCGATATAAATGGATGTAGAAAGGCCTTAAAACATCTGTGTGCATATTGATACTTGTGCCCCTCCACCTCTCATTACACCAGAGTGCAAGGAGAGCTGTGGCGATTAATCAGTTAGTCATCAACCATTAAATTAATCTTCAGCTAATTTGATAATCGATTAATCAATTTGAATATTTTTTTTTTAAATCAAAAAGTCCAATTTCACTGATTCCAGCTGGCTTAATGTGAATATTTATGACAGTAAACTGAATATCTTTGTGCTGTGGACAAAATGAGACATTCAAGGACGTCATCTTGGGCTTTGGGAAACCCTGATTGACATTTTTAACAATTTCCTGACATTTTAATATTGAATAAACAACTTACAAATTAATTGAGAAAGTAATTGACATTGGCGGTTAGTAGCAGCCCTAATTGCGAGGTTCTCCAACGATGCCAGAGCAGCTGTCATTACGTACAATGTGGAAATATGTAGCGTCCGTACCACTGATTCATCACATTTCTGCAAACCATCATCACGGTAGAATCTCAATCAGCAGTATTATTAAACGTCAGAAGGATGATCAATGATTTATTCTTGGCTCTCATGTTAAAATTTAAAGTTGTTGCAATTTAGGATGAAATTAAACGATCACTGAAAAGGAGATGATGCTCAGATATAAATAAAAATAATGATAGAAATGACTCATCATTTAAAATGTACTTTATAAACGCACCTTTGACATTTAACAGAATGCTGTGGGAAAATGCGTTCGCATGGTTTATGCATCTGGCCCCAGATGTTGCGTTTGATCCACTGTCCTCCTGACGAAGGTGGATTAAATTAGTGAACTAGGTTTTATTTGATCCAGACAGCAGGCGTTTCTGTCATTTTGTCCACTCCTCTGTGCATTTAACAGTCTAAACTGCAGTGTAACATTTCAGGAATAAAGGTTTTGTGGACTTAGAGGAAGAACGCTGGTCTGAGTTTCTGACCCCAGACCAGCGTCACCAGCCCCAGGACCTTTAAACTCGACTTATGGAAGTTAACTCAACTGACCCTGGATCAGATGACCCTTGTTGTTAGTTAACCTGGCTGATATTTCCCTGCTGGACTCAGAGGCAGAGACCAAACCTGCCACATGGTTTGGACCTACAGTAGATGCTGTGGCTGGCTGTAACGCCTAATGTGAATGTGCCTATCTGTATATACTGAAAGTGAGTGATTGTGACTTGAGTCTGATGCTATGTGTGTGGGCTGATCTGCTGATACGGTCATGTTAAATAAATGAGTTCATTTTCTAACCAGACTCCTCAACCATGCTGTTTTACTTTCACAATAACGTGGGCATTAAAGGACCAGCTCACCACATTATAATTAAACTGTATTTGTTTTACCTGCTCCTGGTGGTTTTAAGCGGTAAAGATTGACTTCAGAGGTTTTGAGGTTGTAAACTTGGGCTGCTAACATGATAATGGAGGTGACTAGAATATTTCTGCCCTTCTAAAATTAGAAACTTCGTCAATTAGAGAATAACCATAACAAATTGCTTAGTTTTTCAATAATAGGCTATAAAAGAAGTGGATGTAGCCAGCAGAACAAGCCATGGGTTGTTTTTTTTTTGTTTGTTTTTTTTGCCAGAAGTGACCATATTAGATCAAAAGGGTGGAGCTGTAGAGGTGGGAGGCGTGGGCCTGAGTGAGAGTGGTTTTACACTTGGCCCCTTTTCAGCCCTCTAAACAGACTCAAAGCAGTGACTCAGCAATTTCTGCGCACATGTGAACACTCCAAGCGAACTCAGCCTCCCCCTAAGTGAACTGAACACCTCCCAAGGTGATCTGAGAGAAAGTGAGGAGCTTCACAACCGCACTGCAGTGGCACGTCAAAGTAAAAACAAAACTAGATCAATATATATTAGGCTTTAGTGTGAACAGAAAGAGGACTGAAGCCCCATCAGAGGTGAAGTTGACCAGAAAGAGAACTGAGTCCTTTTTCAAATGAACTGACACTGTGAACACAAGAACTGAGTCCCTTTTCTGTTGGTCCACTTTTTGGTGCACTTAAAGGGTGCTTTCAGCCCTATACTTGTCTTGCTTTGGTCTGAATCAGGGACTCATGTTGTTCCAAAGTTGTATAATTGCCTAGAGTTGGTTCGTGTTCTCACGGCAGCATTTACAAGAGGACCAGATCAAATGCCTTGTGTGAGAAAGCTGCTCTTGATTGGTCAGAATTTCCATGTGGGAAAAATCCAGGAAGTAAAGCAAACGTTGAAGAAGAGTACACTTGCAAGATAAATGTGACACTTTCTAATGTCACAATGGAGGGACAACTACGCAGGTTGATTTTAGCGCTGCTCATCGTGGACTATATTGCTGTCATTGTTCATTTTAGTCAAACCATACAGTTTGAAAACGAGGCGCGGCTCCAACTAGAAAACAATGTTTTGATGCATTGGATGTGCTGAATGTGCATATTAAGGCAGTACAGGAGGAGGTGCACATTAATAATCCTCCAGGACTGTAACATGCTCATGTTTAACCCAAACAATGTGTCATGTGACTGCAGTTGCTTCACATCCAGGTCGGAACACCTTCTCACCACAAACCAACCGCACCAGAGTTCGTTTGTAACCGGACTGAGACCACCTCTTCAAGAAGGTCTTGGTCCAGTTGTTTTGGTGCACATCTGAATTCAAATAAACACAAGAAGTTTGTACTCTAAAGAAGAAAAAAAAAAAAAAAAAAAAAAAAAAGAAAAGGGGATCAGCGCTCAGTGAATAACCTCCAAAGCCCTACGATAAGCTATTATGGCAAGGCTTAACTATACAGACCAGTGAGCAGTGATAACTAACATGTCTTTGGGGTCATCGGGTGGGAACCTCCTTTCACCGGTGTTTCGTCTAGTTGGTCCCACGACACCTCCAGGAGGCTAGACAGTGATCTCTGGCGTCCCAGAGACACTCCCCTAATGCCAGGTCTCACTGCTCCCCGCACCAACCCAACAACCTCCTTTACCTTACCTATACTACCACAGAGGAGGTAGAGTGTGATTGCTGTGTTCACACCTGCCCAAACAAACCGCACTGAGGGGACAAACAAACTTCGTTTTCGTTTTGTTTGGCCAGCCAGATACAGGATTTAAATAAAATCTACTTACCAGAAAAAAGTTAACAGCCGCATCCGACATTTGCAGGCGACCAAAATGTTCTACTTAACTTTGTTTTCCTGAAAACACTGTGAAAGGGTTGAAGTTCTAGGACGAAAACACAAACAGTGTCCATCAGCTCGTGGAGGAGAGGCTGGTTCTTGTGACAGTGTGAGATGTAAAAATGAATGGCATGTGCTGTAACGTTAGCTAGTTCAGTGATGCTGGGTGAGCTGGTAGTAGCTGGCAGATGTAACTCAGCAAAAAAAGTGAGTGTCACAAGCCGAGCGCCATCTAGTTCCATAATATTGGAGAGCGGGCAGACATCTCTACGGCTGATATCTCCAACACTTGGCTACTCACACCAAAACTATTTACACTGATGAAAAGCACTACAGGTAAGAGGGAAAATATGTGTTTTTAAATTTTGGGTGAACTGTCCCTTTAATCACTGATGACAGGAGGCAAATCAATATGTTTATTTCTTTAAAGTTTCACACACTTACAATTCATTCTGTTTAGATAATTATTCACATAAAATAGACTGAAAATACATTTCTTCCATTATTTTTGGTAAAATGTCAAACTTAAAAAGACAGGTTAAAGGAATAGGAGTGATCACGGGTCAGTGACCTTGTATCCAAGATTATAGAAATATTTTCCCTCTAATGTACAGACTTAAGTTACTGCAGTGTGTTAACAGCACAACACGGGAGGCCTCCTCACTGTGTTTGACCTTCCTCGCTATCATGTACCTTTTTTTTTCCTTAACAAGGTGCCAGGCGGACATGACACTGAGGCGGGGAGTGTTATCTGGGAGAAGACAGACAGCAGGACAGGAGCAGGAGAAGGAGACGAGGCCCGTTGACACACTGAGGTCACTGCAACAGCCTGGGAGACGAGGCCCTAGTCCATGAGACAGGAAGTCATGTTGGAAAGGTTAAAGAGGATGTGTTGCTTCAGTATGCAGAGACGCCGGGGGAGCAGAGTCTCCCAAGGGACTATGAACACTGGTGGAATGTAATGAAGTAACTGTACTTTTTACTTCTACTGCAGTATTTGTAATAGTTTTTACTGCATTACATTTATTTGATAGTTGATACCTTTAGTTGTGTCTGGTTGATCTGATCTGGTACTAAAAGGTGGAGCTGTGAACCCTGCAGTCTGATTGGTCAGTAGAGGACAGTCACTCTGCTCACTTCTCACTCACTTTGCTGCCTCTCACAGCAGCTGGAGTCTGAGAAAAATAATTCACTGGGCCGACTGCCGGCGACCTTTAAGGTGGAACATTAACTTGTAATGTTACTCAATGCATGAGGTGACGACGTGAATCCATCAGCACACCTTAAATTTCACTGTGACAACTTTGACCATCACTTTAGTTTTTATGTGACACACACTTTAAGTAATGAGTGGATCTTCAAGTGTTCATATATATATATATTAATTGCGACCGTAATCCTCACTCTGAGAGAAAAAAAGCATGGCGGAGCATCGTTCCTGTGGGCTCCAGCAACAATAAACCCCTGAGCTTGCCTGAGAAGGACTAAATGCACAAAGCTGCTATTTTTAAATATCCCATGGAGAGAGACTCTCACTGCAGCCTGTTCTTTTTTGTTTTGAAAATGTTTGCGTGCAGCCTCGTTCTGTGGACGATAAACCAGGTGCAGACTGATAAAGGAGGAAATACAGTGAGTGCTGGACGGAGCAGTGAGTGACAACAACCCCGCCCACATTTAAGAGTACTGTTTGTGGTGGAAACTCAAGGGTCTAGGTACCATGTCTGAAGGGTTACTGTTGGTTCCAAAGGTACTATCCTGAAAGTGTTTGGTGGAAACAGGGCTTTTGTGACTAACTAGAACAGCAGTTTTTTTTAAATTGGTCCAGTATTGAGGGAGAGCACCACAGTCAGCAGAAACAGGCTGCAATCTCAGGGCGTGTTTGCACTGTCACTTTACGTCTGTTAAAAGTGCTTTTTTTTTCCTCTGACAGGCTCAGATTGTTATTATAGGTGTCTGACAACATTATGGAAATGATCCCTACAGAGACAGACCTTTTCGTTAATGAGTAGGATCCTTTTAAGATCTGTCTCCAGTTCTCACAAATAGATCAGGACATATAATGCATCAGTCCTTTTCTCTGTCTGTGGCTATCGAAAAACGTAAATCTTTATAGTTTATTATTTATTAAAAGGCTCCGTAGTATTTTCAAAAGACAGTAGGTGACTGTGGTTTTACACAGATGTTACTCACAAAGGAGTGAACAGCACATTTGTTGGGGACTATTCTCAGTGGTGGAATAATACACATTTGGTGCAGGACAGTGTATGTGGGAGTGAGTCAAAATAAATGAAACTCATCGATTAATTTATTGTTGGACTTGTTAACGAGTAGAATAATTCAGATGATCTCTGTATTTCATCCTGTCACAAAGGCAGACATTTGACATTTGCTTCTGTCTTTGTGTCTGAGTGCAACAGAGCACTGTCCCGTCTCTCCCAATGGGGGGCGCTACGCCCTCGCTGTGAACCCCCTCCCCGGTGGGACTGGCTGAGTGTCCCTGATCTCCTGGTTTATCAGCCATCATCACCACCAGACGTGTTGTTAAACTATAACACCCATCATTATCCGCAGGACGAGCTGCTGCTTTGTTGAGCTTCCGTGTCAGGACCCACGTCTGACAAGAGGTTCATCTGCAGCCGGGCGGACGTCAGGCGGCCTCCCCTCTCCTCCCATGAGCCTGTGCACACCCCACCTCCTCCACCTCCTCCACCTCCTCCTCCTCCTCCTCCTCCTCCCCAGCCTCACCCTCTCACCCTCCACACAGAAGAAGCAATGCACCAAAACTCAAATCTTTTGAAGGCTTTAAGGAAAAACATTCCCTCCATTTCACCTCACTTTTTTTTTTTTTGGTGGAGGTGGACGGGTGGAGGTACAAAACAAGGTGACAAAACCCAATTTTTTGAAGAGGCAAGCTTTTTTCTTTCTGTGCTATCTGTCAGAGTTGGCCAGACTCCAGTAACTTGTCCCATTGATCTAAAGCTAAAACGGCCCTGTGCACCCACACAGCCAGGCCCGCGAGGGAGCGGGGTGGGTGTAAAAACATTTTTTCACCCTCGTGGGGTTTTTTTTTGTTTGGGCTCAATCCCCAGCTCTTTCAGGGGGC